GTTGGCCAATAAGACACCATTGTCGGGGCCACGGCCAGCGGAAGGGTGGGTCTCTCACCGAAGCTTCAGACGGTACGTACCCTTTTCTTGATTGCAGAACAATTGCCCCTCAATGGCCCAAGCTTTTCTACAAAGTACCGCTACTATGGTACTACCACTACGGAGTACCTACCTACTTAGTAGCTCAAAAGGTCAAGGCAGGCATGCCCCTCCTCCTCCACATGGTCATTGGCAACAAGGGGCACCTCATTCGACAATTTTGCAGCACTGGTGAGATCATTGCACGGTAATCCATCGATCGAGATGTGGGCTCTGATTGCCGAGAAGCCCATCTTTTCGGCATCCAATTGTTTTTGTTGCAACTTGTTACTAACGTTGGAGCCCCCCATCCTCGATCCGGAAGTCCCGTCGCAGCATGTACCTCCCTCCTCCGTACACCGGGTAGTCCTTGCAGCTTGATGTGCACCAAGATGCTGTTGTCTCGAGACAGAGTTCGAGTGACATCGGCATGATCCAAAGTAAACGCAATACCCATGGGGATAAACAAGCTCAACGGCTGGAACTGGTCCCTGTCAAGCCCGGCTTTCTATACGTATAGTCCTTTTTCGACAGGCCGTTCGTTTATGATTCCCGTCATTGCATACAAACAAACCCCAGGACTAGACGTCAACGTGCAATAACTATTACTACAAAACGAACCCAAGTCAAGCATCTACAAATCCGAGAGTTTCCTGACCTTGAAGCCGCGACTGACTGACACCTTGGGGCATCCACCCTCTCTCTCTGCCGTTGTTTCCACTTGCGCGCGTGTGTGTTTGCGTGCCTACCTTTGTCTCTTTTCGGCCGAGCACCGACGTCATAGACTGCATCAATCGCCGTCACCCGTCACCCACTTCCCGCTTGAACCTCGCAGCAAACGGTCCAGACTCCGGTCTGATTACCTGTTACTGTTAGCAAAGCAGCTTCTGTCTGTCTGCATTATCGGCCCTTCATCAGCCCACCAGTTCGCCGCAGCTTCCGCTCAACAGATATCCCCGAGCCCCCGATCAAACAGCGTCGCACCCTGTCATCCCAATCTCCCAATCCATATACCCTACCGCCTCATTGCCAAGTACCCTTGTACTACGAACGAAGCTTCATCCGAATCCAACTAGAAATAAAAATAAAAATAAAAAACAACAACCACAGACCAAGGCACACACGTCTTGTCCTGTATACGCTCAGACACGGTCAAACGGCCAGCTTCAAATCGATACAATATCAAACACACAACATCCATCCAGTTCCCAACATGGCTGGACAAGTCCTTCGGCAGGCGAACCCACCGCCTATACCCTCTCACCTGCCCGAAAGCATTCTCCATCTTGCCATCAAGACGGAGAAGAAGCCGTTGGACGAGAGGGATGCAAAGTCTCTGCGCGACTTCCAAAATGCCGCCTGCTATATTGCTGCTGGTAAGCCGAGCCGAGCCTATCCCTGCTTTACCTGCCGTCAGATCTGCCACTCGTTCGCAGCTAACAGCACCCAGCGATGATCTTCCTGCGGGACAATGTCCTCCTGGAGTCGGAACTTAAGCTCGAGCATATCAAACCTCGGTTGCTTGGTAAGCCCTCGCCTTGAGATGCTTGCTTCTTGGAATGGGCACCTAACAGCGTTCCAGGCCACTGGGGCACGTGTCCCGGTCTCATCCTGGTGTGGTCCCACCTCAACCGACTCATTCGCAACCATGACATGGACATGATCTATGTCATTGGCCCCGGCCACGGTGCTCCTGCAGCTCTGGCGGCCCTCTGGCTTGAGGGCTCCCTAGAGAGGTTCTACCCTGGCGAGTACGATGTCAGCAAGCAAGGCCTGCATAATCTCATCACTAGGTTCTCCGTCCCCGGGGGCTTCCCCAGGTAAGGAGACCGTTATCTCGCCAAGGCATACCCGCGCACTGACACGGCTTAGCCACATCAACTCCGAGACCCCTGGCGCCATCCACGAAGGTGGCGAGCTCGGCTATGCCTTGTCAGTATCGTTCGGCGCGGTCATGGACAACCCGGATCTCATCGTGACCTGCGTTGTCGGCGATGGTGAGGCCGAAAGCGGTCCTACTGCCGGGTAAGTCCGAGTTCTCTGATGCTGTATCGAGCCATGCTGATGAGCCCCAGCGCCTGGCATGCCATCAAGTATCTCGACCCCAAGGAGTCTGGTGCTGTAATCCCCATTCTCCACATCAACGGCTTCAAGATCAGCGAGCGCACCATCTTTGGATGCATGGACAACAAGGAGATTGTCGCACTGTTCTCCGGATACGGGTACCAGGTCTGCATTGTAGAAGACCTCCAAGACATCGACACCGACCTCTCCAGCGCCCTGGAGTGGGCGGTGGCCGAGGTCAAGAAGATCCAAAAGGCAGCTCGCTCCGGAGAAGCCATTGCCAAACCGCGATGGCCGATGATTGCTCTCCGCACTCCCAAGGTAATCCCGTCCTAAAAAGAGCCTATAGCACCGTGCTGACATTTCTAGGGATGGACTGGGCCCAAAGAGGTTGATGGGGTCATTGTCGAGGGCTCATACAAGTCCCATCAGGTCCCCCTGGCCAAGGCCGGCTCTGACGAAGGCCAGCTCGGAAATCTGCGAGACTGGCTGTCCAGATACGACATTGGGAACCTTCTGCCGGAAGGCAAGCCGACTGAGAGCGTCACTGGAGCGATCCCCAAGAACAGTGCCAAGAAGCTCGGTCAGCTCAAGACCACTTACGACCCGTACGTAGGCCTCAAACTTCCCGACTGGAAGCCGCTTGCGGTCAAAGCGGGTGAACAGGACAGCTGCATGAAAGTGACGGGCCAGCTCCTAGACAAGGTGATGCAGGAAAACCCTCACAGCTTCCGCATGTTCTCACCCGATGAGCTGGAGAGCAACAAGCTCGACGCCGTGCTCGACCACACCGGCCGCAACTTCCAGTGGGACCAATACTCGCGCAACCAGGGCGGCAGAGTTATCGAGATTCTGTCGGAGCACTGTTGCCAGGGCTTCATGCAAGGATACACACTTACGGGCCGCGTCGGCCTATTTCCCAGTTACGAGTCTTTCTTGGGCATCGTGCACACGATGATGGTGCAGTATGCCAAATTCAACAAGATTGCCAAGCAGGTCAAGTGGCGCGGGGATCTGGCGTCCATCAACTACATCGAGACGAGCACGTGGACTCGCCAGGAGCACAATGGGTTTTCGCACCAGAACCCGTCCTTCATCGGAGCCGTCCTCAATCTCAAGGCCGAAGCCGCACGAGTAAGCCCCCTTTCCGGCCCCAACCTAGCGCATCAGTCTCTCACGCACACACATAGGTCTACCTACCGCCTGACGCCAACTGCTTCCTCAGCACCGTCCACCATTGTCTCAAGTCCAAGAACTACGTCAACCTCGTTATAGGGTCCAAGCAGCCGACGTCGAACTATCTCGACGCCGACGCAGCCGAAGAGCACTGCCGGCGCGGCGCGAGCACGTGGAACTTTGCATCCACGGACGGCGGCGCTGACCCGGACGTAGTGATTGCCGGTATCGGCGTGGAGGTAACGTTCGAGGTGGTCAAGGCGGCGGAGCTGCTGCGCACACTGGTGCCGGAGCTCAGGGTACGCGTCGTCAACGTGACGGACCTCATGGTCCTCAAGGCGGAGGCCAAGCACCCGCACGCGCTGTCGAGAAAGGCGTTTTTGGAGATGTTCACCGAGGACCGGGCCGTCCACTTCAACTACCACGGCTACCCGACGGAGCTGCAGGGTCTGCTGTTCGGACGACCCAGTCTGGACAGGATCACGGTGGACGGGTATCGCGAGGAGGGAAGCACGACGACGCCATTTGACATGATGCTTCTCAACGGCGTTAGCCGATATGACGTTGCGATCCGGGCGTTGAAGGGAGGTGCCGAGGTGAACGAGAAGGTCAAGGCCGTGCTGGACGACAAGATCAAGGAGGTCGAGGCCAAAGTGCGGGAGATTCGGGACCATATCATGGAACACGGCAAAGGTATGCGATTATCGAGGATCCACACTTGAAATTGAACGGCTACTGACAGATGGCAGACTCTGACGACATTTACGACACGGCCAAATTTTGAGCGTTATGTGATATGATGAGATGGGATAGATAGATATTAGATAAAGTACCCAACTGGAATGATGCTATGTAACTTAAAGCTACAAAATCAATGAGAGAGAGCAAGTTACGTCGAATGAATGTATGACCCTCAAAAAAAAAGCAAAAGAAATCGTGGACAGTTGGACTGTCGGAAGTAGTGCCTCGTGGCGGAATCGAACCGCCGATCTTCTCATGACACTAGAGTACTAGTGAGACGCTATACCACTTAGCCAACAAGGCTTGCTTTTCGATCGGCAGTAGAGGGAATATGAAGTGTGAGGGCGGATTCGTGGAATGCCGACGATGAGGTTTGCCAAGGTGGGATTGTGACAGTTTTCTTTTCTGCGATAAAGCTTAGTGAAGAAGAGTTGGGGGATGGATGGTGTGCTTGTTTTTAGAGATACTGTAACGTCGCCGCCGCCGCCGCTCGGATTTTGATCAGCACAACTGCAATTGCAGTGGGATTAGTGCAGTCGAACGAATTGCAGGCTTTCTTCCATGTCGAGTCCCGTTGCAAATACAATGTGAGAAATATAGGTAGCTCAACAGAGTCCATCAATTCCAGAAGCATATACTCATTAACCGGCCCTCTCATCTTTACTTATCTAAGGTAAGTAGTCTAGTTGACCGGTGCATCTATGACATCCCAACGGGCGGGAAGGTAGGAAGTACACACATACATACCTGTTGCCAGATTCACATGGTCGCGGTTCCGTGCTCAGCGGCCGCTACTTTCTCACTATCGAGCCCACCACCATTTCCACACACACATTCACCAAACCTGCCCCGGAAAGGTGTTAACCCAGATGTACTCTGTACTTCTCCCCCCACCAATCCCCGCCCCCACCTCGAAATTTCTCCTTTCCCCGTCGCAAAACCGCCTCGTCAGGCCAGATCCGATCCCGACGAACGCCATCCAAACGAGATCGACAGACGTGACGGACGGCGCTGCGCACCGAGCCCTCCCCCCCCTCCTCCCCGTTTACTTCCGCTCGCGATGGTCTACTACTTCACCTCCAAGGCGGTGGACCCGCCCGCCTTCATCTACGTCGGCAAGGACAAGTTTGAGAGTACGTCGCGTTTCTGTCCGTGGATGACGGCGGGGGAGCGCGCGACATGCCGCCGCGAGGCACACGTCGTGGAGGCGGGCATCGTTCGGCAGAAACGGATGGACTGACTGCGGCAACAGATGAGGAGCTGATCAAGTACGGCTGGGAGGAGGATGTCTGGTTCGTTACCCCTTCCCCTTCTTCACTCGTCGCGAACCATAACTGACTCTCATCAGGGTATGTGCTTCATCTCACTCACTCACTCAATCACTCACTCACTCACTCACTCATTCACTCAGCCATTCACTTTTCCACTCACTCACTCACTCGTTCAATCATACACTCCTACACTCATACACTCACTCACACCTGTCACCTTCATCCTCCCTCACTAACTCGCCCCCCAGTTCCACGCCGACAAGCTCTCATCGGCACATATCTACCTCCGCCTTCCCGACCCCAAGGACCCTACCAACACCTCCCCCATGACGTGGGATACCATCCCCGAGCCGCTCCTTGTCGACCTCGCCCAGCTCACCAAGGCCAACTCCATCGAGGGCAATAAGAAGGACAACGTCACCGTCATCTACACCCCCTGGTCCAACCTCAAGAAGGACGGCAGCATGGCCGTCGGCCAAGTCTCCTTCAAGGACCCCCGCAAAGTCAAGAAGATCCTCGTGCCCCAGCGCGAGAACCCCATCGTCAACCGCCTCAACAAGACAAAAGTCGAGAAGAAGCCCGACCTCAAGCAGGAGAGGGACGACAGGCTCAGGGAGCTGAGGAAGAGGGACCAGGCCTCCGCTCTCGAGAGGGTACGTCTTTCCCTATTCCCTCCGTTTTGCTCCCCTTTCTCTCCTTTGTACTTCCCCCTCGTCTGGCTGCGTTTCCACCGCCCATGGATGGACCCAACACAAGTCGCTGATGGATCCCACACTAACAACCAACAGAAACGAGAAGAGGCCCGCATCGCCCAGGAGCGCAAGGAGAAGAAGTGGCAGAAGGACCATGCCTACGATGACATCTTCACCGAGGAGAACATGGAGGCGACGAGCAACCAGAACCGCTCCGCCGACTGGGAGGATGACTTTATGTAAAAGGTCTGCGTGGCTCGCTCTCTCGCTCCCTCCATGTCTTTTTTCTTTTTCTTTTTTTTTTCTTTGTGCCTAAGTTAGCTTATTTGCTAGCAGAGAATCCAAAAGGAAGGGAAACACAATCGGTGAAGAGATGCAGGTGACACTGCACACACATCATGTCCCACACTTGTGCTAGCAGCCCAGCAGGGTATCCTGTTCGCATACATAGTCCTTTGGAATCATGGAACCAGCGTGATCTATCGAGACCGCGTGATCGGGGATGGCCCGAACACGAATGTCTGCAGAGCCTCAACCACATAGTCCTGAACCTTGCGCAGAAAGCTTTCCGGGCATACCCACCGAGGGCCTATAAATAATCTGCCAGCCCACCAAGTCAATTCATCTTTTCTCTCCTCAACATACCAACTTCATCCTTCTTAACCCCCCCCCCCCCCCCCCCCCCCGGCTGCACCGTCTGCTCCTCTCAGTCACCCTCGTGACCGAGACGCAGACATGCGCCAGCCTGTGGCGGGCCAGTTACAATGAGCAACCTCTGAGCCCGCCTTGCTGGGTTCATCGCGACAGCAACAGCGATGCCAGCCCATCCGCTGATGATAATGGTGATGGCGACGGGGCCCATCATTCAAACTACACACAACTGAAGCAACCAGACCGAGCAACCATCGCCAGAAATCTCATCCGCCCAACTAATGCAAGCAAACCAACAAAATAAAAATATAAAATAAAACAAGTCAAACCGATTCAAACAACTTGAAGAAGAAAAAAAGTCCATCAGAGGCCACAATACTAAAACACACCAACACGACGAGATCGTCGAAAAGCCTTGCTCCTTGAGGCATAGACAGCACCGGAGATGGCTTCACTCGCCAGCAACCTTGCTGGCCGTGGCCAGGCATACAAAAGGCGGCTGAAGCTGGGCTTGGTCTCTTCTTCCTTCCTTCCATCTCATCCACATCCTCTGCGAGAGAACAAAACGGCAAAACGCGCGCACAATGACACAACCTACTCCCCTTACAATGAGCTAGCGTGCAGCTGTCAGAAACCCCTGCCCCTGGGACCTGCCACAGGCAGGGGATCACTACGCGCCGCGTACGGCGTGTAGAGATCCTGCTGTGACTGGCGCTCGCGCCCAAGCGCTTGGCCTCATAGGGGTCAATAAAGATACCCTTTCCCATGGTCTTCCTCTGGCCATGAAGTTGAACGTGGCCATCTTTGGCCTAGAGCTGCTGGCAAAAGACGCCAGCCGAGCTGTGGGGAGGCAGATTGCCGAGAAGAAGGCCGAGCTCGCAAGTATAAGGTCCGCATCAAGGAAGAGAAGCGTGCGATTCAAGCACGCAACAACAAGATGGAGGAGCTCCCGGGACACGATGGAGTTTCCAGATACTTTGCCGACGACCAAGGTCGCGATGGCTTCGAAGCAAGTACACACACACACACACACAATCTACTCTATTGACTTTGCTCCCTTGTAATAAGCTTACGCACGACTGTGGAAACCCCCTGGGGGCTACCTCAGCCACATGACTACTACACGCCGCGTACAGCGTGTAGGGACCCCCCCCCCCCAGGTAACTGGCGCTCTTGCTCAAGAGCTTAGCCTTCACGAGGTCAACAGAGGAACCTTATCCCTCAGCCTCTCTCAGTCAACAAGAGAGAAAGCGGCCATCTTTGCCCTTGAACTTCTGGCCAAGGACCAGACTAACCTGGAGGCAAAGGCCAAGATCTTGAAGAAGAAGGCTGTTATTAGAGGAGAGAATGTTTTGTAGCATCTAGGGATGGCAACATACTTTGCCGACGTCATGGAGGCGGCAGCGGCGGCCATTGAGGCCAAGAATGACCTATAGGGCAGTTAGTAATACCATCCCATCCATATCACAGATCAATACAACACGACACACATACAAAGACGCACACACACACACACACACACAACCTACTCCTCTTACAATGCGTTCTTATACCGTTGGAAGCTGGGCTTGGTCTCTTCTTCCCTCCTTCCATCTCATCTACATCCTAAACGCGCGCACAATGACACAACCTAACTCCCCTTACAATGAGCTGGCGTGCAACTGCCAGAAACCCCCGGGACCTGCCATAGGCAGGGGATCACTACGCGCCGCATCCTGCTGTGACCAGCGCTCACGCCCAAGCGCTTGGCCCTCATAGGGGTCAACAAAGATACCCTTTCCCATGGCCTTTCCTCTGGTCATGAAGTTGAGCTCCTGGGAGGCAAGAGTACTTCAGCAGCGCCATGGAGGCTGCAGCAGAGGCCATTGAGGGCAGAAATGACCCATGGGGCACTAGGGGTTAGGTGTAGGAGGGGAAAAGTCTTTTACTTGATACCCAAAGTGCAAGAATACCGCTGAAATATGTTTTGATTACTTTATGTCTCGTCACTTCGTTAACGGCATCACCTACTCAAAAAAACAAGAAAATGAGTGATAGCCAAGAGGGGTATTTGTTCCGGGACCGCGGGACCGCGCCCCGAGGCCCTCAGACAGTCAGCTGCACATGCCAATACCCATACGACTCCTTGCAATGCCCATAGACTCCATCCTGCGCGGTAAATCATTGTCGCCCGAAACAAACTTTTCCAGCTTTGTCGTCTGCCCTTCGTTCTTCTTTTCCTCGTCAACATTATGTTGTTGCTGCTGCTGCTGCTGCTGCTGCTGTTCTTGTTCTTCCTCTCGCTTGTCCTTGCCGTGTCCACGTGGAGGCGCGCGCGACCTGACGAGCACCGGCAGTTCATCGTCATCCCCCTCCTCTGACACCACATCCAGATCATCGTCATCCTTGGGATCCAAAAAAGGCGACGAGAAGGGCTCGTCCTCCCTGTAAGTGCCCTCTTCTTCCTCTTCTTCCTCCTGATCACGTGGGCCAAAGACCGGCTCGCCACCCGGCAACCCAATTTCCCGGGCCTCGAGCGTCTCCTTGATGTCGAGGAGCATCACGTCCATCGGGCAAATATAGGCAACGCGCTTCCGCCCACTCCACGCCAGAACATGTCCGCAGACCCGGCCGTGAGCGCGTTCAACGACCCAAGCACCGCTGTCCCCGGGGACGCCCATTGGCTGCTGCTTCTTGCCGTCACCGGCCAGCTCGGCAGGCGTCTCGACGGCGACACTGCTGACTTGGTACGTGTGACTCGGTGTCACTCGCCCAAAGATTTTGACGCTCGTCAGGGCGGGAAGGATGAGTCCAGTCTGCAGGCCACTCGTACGAGCCATACACTGTACCTCCAGACCCGCCAGCTTCGACGTCGGCGCCACGTTCGTGGGGTGCATGAACTTGCCGTGCTTTGACGGAAATCTGCCATACGATGGCGACAGCTGCTTGCCCTGTATCCGAGGGATCGTGTTATCCTCGGGCAATCTCTCGGGGGTGAATTCGAACAAGGCCCAGTCGATTTCGTGGATGAGGCCGTCCTGCTCCCTGCGCTTGATCCCGCTTGACGCGTAGACCTCGCCGACGGTGTAGCTGTCCAGGTGGTCCTCATTCGCCGTTTCCTCCGAAGGATAGAACTCTTCGTCGACATCGTCCATGGCCGGCTGCGTGATGATGTAGCCTTCACCGCAGTCCGGCTCGATCCCCGGGATGTCGCCCGGCTCATCGTATTCGCCCCCCGACTCGTCGCCACTCTCCTCGTCGGAGGCGTCGCTGGTGGCCTCCGTGTCCGAATAGGCCCCCGACTCGGATTCGGAAAACTCGCAAGCGCAGTCGTCTCCGCTGCTGCTTTCAGCAGACGAATCTGCGTACCAATCAAGCCGCGCACGGTCAGTGTCCCTCGCCATGCTCCGCTTCGTGGGGTCCTGCGCCTTGGCGTGCTTGTAGATCTCCTCGGGGTCATCCAACATATGATGAACCGTCATCCCGTACGGCTTACCATCCACCATGACAAGGCCGCCCAAGCTGACGGGCGGCAGGTGACGGTCCCCCACCCAGGCTCCAATACTGGCGCCGTTGTTGGGGCGCGCTTGAAAGTCGGGGTTGGCGGCTTTGACGGCGCCCTCATCATCGTCGTCGTGTGCTGCGCTCCGCTTAACGTCGCCCGGCTGCTTCCGTGACCTCATGACCTGTCCCCTGCACACCTTCAAGCCAAACCCAGACTTACCGCCGTCAAATAGCTCGCCCAACTTGCGTGTAAGGATGGCCTTAACCTTGCTGACAGACGTACACACAACCAAAACGGTAGGCTGCGTCTTTGTTGGGTGACTGCCGATGGACTCGAGAGACACTTCGACGGATTCTTCCCGGTTCTTCCGATAGAAGTGGCGCAAGGCCTGGTTGACCTGAGGCATCACAAGCGTGTTCCACCTCTCGACAGCATCCGGAGGCAGTGGAATCTGAGGATAAAGCCGGGTTTTGGGGGAAGGCGGCTTGGCGGCCTTTGTCTCAGCAGGCAGCTCTGCCGGGGCGGCTGTGACGCGGTTAGTGTGCGGAGCAGAGCAAGGCCACAAAATCGACTCACCTTCAGCCTCCTTCCTAGCAAGCTGCCGCTTTTCCTCTGCGGCTGAGGGATATGAGCGGCGGGCGGGCTCAGGGTCCGAGACGCGGGTTTTGGTATCGAACGACGAGGAGCGATGGGTGTCGACGGATGGGCGAGGAGCTGCCTGTGTATCCTTCGAAGGCCCAGAAATGCTCTGCCTAGTAGGGGTACCAATAGGAGAAGATGTCTTCCTGCCAAGGTCGAGGTTGAGACGATCTTCGAGCGAGTTCATGTTGTCGAGAATAGCGCACGAATCGAGGCAGCGCGTCACAGTCACTTGCACGGCGGAGAGCAGCTCTTCGTCGGCGGCAACTCCTTGGAGCCGCATGTCGACGGCATTCCAGCAGGATTCAACAGCTCTCTTGTACATGGAGGAGCAGCGGATACCCAGCTGATTCAGGACGGCCTCAGAAATAGGTTGGGACGGGTCGGTCACCAGGTTCTCGAGCTTGGTCCACAGGCCAATGGACAGCAGAACCATGGCGAGGGAGTACAGGTCGAGGATTCGGGAATCCATCTTGTCGTTGATGGGGGATGCCGGCGTCGTGCGGGGGTCCAGGGGATGGCGGAACAGAGGGAGCGACGGCGAAGCCGGTTCCTCGTCGGATGGCGCATCGGGGAACAGGTCGAAAGAGGAGACGAGAGGCCGGCGGATGTCGACTTCGCCGGGGCCCGTCGTGAGGTCCGGGGTGGCCAGGTTGCAGAAGGACACGTTACTGTCGATGATGCAGCCGTGGGTGATGCCGCGGGCGTGCAAGTCGAAGACGGTGTTGACGAGGTTGGAGGCCAAACGGAACTTGGCCTCCAAGGTAGGCTCGAAATCCGGGCGCGAGAGGAGGTCGGCGAGGGTGCAGACGTTGTAGAGAGGGTTCTGGGTGAAGTTCTCGAAAGAGACTGCATTGAAATTGGGAGGGAAGTGGTAGACGAGCCCGAGGCGGGAGTGCTCCAGATCTTCAAAGTAGCCCAGCAGGCGCGGCAGGCCGATCCAGGTACCAGGGGCCCTTTGCGAATCTTGCTGCAAGCCGGCCGACAGCTTCTCGAAGCGTGACATGGGGGGCATAATGCCGGTGACGGAGTAGATGGAATCGAAGGTGGCGTACTCGAGCAACAGGGGCGCAAAGGGGTGACGGCCAATGTGCTGGGACAAATCCGACCAGGCCTGTTTGCTCATGAAGACGATGTCCCTCGGGGGCAGGCTGGGTCTGGGTTCGGTCATGGGCTCTGCTTGCATGGAGCGGATGTTGGTCAAGGTTTTGGGGTCGATCTCCTGAGGGGTCTGCATCCTGGTGGACTCGAAGGGCCTCAGCTCCTCGGCGGAGGCCATGGACTTTTCGAGTTTGGAGCGCGACGACATGTGGCCCGAGGAGCGGGTTCTGGAAAGGTCGTAGAGGGTGTCCACCGACTGAGTGAGGTCGGCGATGGCATCAGCAAAGACGGCCTTGTCCCAGGTCACGAACGGGGTCTTGCGGTCTACGGCCGACTTTTCCGAGACGGTGCCGAGGGGTTTTGTGTAGCTCTTCCACAGGGCATCCAACTCGGACAGTGTTTCCCGAACTCTGGACAAGATGCTGTGGACGACCTCGCTCAGTCCGGCCTTTGATAATGAGCTGTCAATCTCATCTGACTGGTTAGGGTCGGTCCATTCGAGGCCCCAGACAGAGACGCGGTCCTTTTGGATGCGCAGTTTCCTAAAGAGGGATTTGATTTCAGGGTCTTCGGGGGCCTTGGCAGGTTCCTGGACGAAATCTGAAGACTTTTTCGTGTCATTATACAGACGACTCAGGCGGCGTTGCATGAAGCCACCGGTGGCGCGGATGCCCTCCATGTCGAGTGTTGAGACGGGGATAGAATTAGAAACAATGAGGGACGCCCCTCACCTGAGAGGCGAGGTAAGACGTCGGTCGGTTGAGGAGACGAAACGAAAGAGCAAGCAGGTGGTGCCCGACAAGAGGGTTTTGGGAGTGTGTGCCGGGGCGACTTGATATCACGATGACATAGTCGGGTGTGCGTGTTTGTTTATGTGCGAGTAGCGGAGAATGACCCCAGGCCGGCGGGAGTCGGAGTCGGCGTCGGCGTCGAGAACCGGGAGTGCAGCTCGGCCAGGCTGTTGCGGGCGGGGCTCTCTCTCTCTCCCTCTCTCACACACACCCTCTCTCTCTCTGTATGAGTGTGTGTTTTGGGTTGTGGGTGAATGCGACTGCGACTGCGACTGATAGTTTACAGGCCTTTCCCGGGATGCAAAATGTCGTAGAGATTACGCGGCAACGGTTGCGCTGGTTGCGCAGGCGGCAAGGGAGAAGGGAAATAAATGGATGGAACTGATCTCGTGGTGGTGATCAAGGACAATTGAGGGGAGGGGAAGAGAGGGGGTTTTCCCAAGGTTTTCTGCTACCAGACGCAGTTGGACGGAGGAAGATGCAGTTATTTGGGTGCCTGCAGTATACGGGGCCGTCTTTGCCCTATACTGGAGACAATGAATCCATCAGATCAGGTATGGACGGACGGAGAGAGAATTGTCTGTGCACGGTTGGAACGATGAGTGATGATGATTAGCGGGATGGATGGATGGATGGATGGGTGGATGGACTAGGAATAGGGACGGGGTAGATTGTGGCAGCATCTAATGCATGCCAATGCTAAAACTGCACCAATGTCGATATTGGCCGAGGGTGGTGAACAGAAGCAGAAAGGGAAGGGCCATGTTGGAAAGGAAAGCCAGTAGGTAGCGTAAGGGTGAGACTTGTTCTCGGATTGTGGCTTGTGCGTGTGGTGTGTGCGTGCTGCTGCTGCTTCTGCTCCTGCTGTTGCTGGCTGGAATGCTGCTGCCTGCGATCCCATCCATCCCTCTTCTATGCCTGTCTCGGCTAGACCCGCTTATCCAAAGTGGGTCACCGGCGCGGAGTTGACATGATTGGTTCAGTAATCTTGGAGCCTGCAAAGTGGATCCCCGGGCAATCGGGGCCTGCCGAAAACTGACAGCAGGCAAGTACGTACGTACACCATCTATTATACCTACCTACCTACCTACAGGTAGGTAGGTACCGGTATGTTAGGGTTAGGTAGTATGCTCTTTCCTTTTCACGCATCCCCACTGCCTCTCAAAGAGCAGGACATCACCTCATAGAAGGAAAGAACAGGTGAGGAGACGGAGGTATCGTGCCGAGTACGTACCAGATAGCTGCTGCATTGGTCATCTTCATGTCTCGCGAGACGGCACCATCCATCTCTGCCATGTTGCTCGTCTTCTCATGCCGTATTATCCCTTACCTATAACCTGTTCGACTCCTTACCTAATCTCTGCTACAGACGTCTGCAGCACCCACAGTGATCAGCATGCCTACCGGCGCAAAAGCCCATTGAACCAAGACAGGAATCCCATTTCTCGCTGCCTACACTACCTACCTAGGTACCTTACTCACAACCCCGTATTGGATACGCCCGATGTTGGTTGTATCCCCGGCCTGCCGCCTCTGTATCGCGCCTCCGGCGGTCCGTCCGCACCATCCCATCCCTGCCCGTCACGACCATTGCGTTATCCGCCACGAACGGCTAGTCCGTGTTACTATCTGTGCCTCACTTCACTCCGACACGGACTGCCTCTTCTTTGCGGCCAGCCACAGCAATGATTCAGCACCAAGGCTCCTTCTTCCGTGTCCCAAAGTACATCCTCCTCCTCCTCCTCCTCCTCCTCCTGATCTTCATGGACTCCTTGTCCAGGCTAACCCCCTCCCATATATCGCCCACGTCTCAAGATCACAATGCCTGTTGGCCAAAGAACATGGACAGACCTGACCCTCGAATGTCCAGTCAGCCAAGAGCCCCACGGTGGAAGTCCACTCGCTATTCCACGGCAGCTTGGCACCTCTCCCTGTTTATCTGGCTGCCTAAACGCTAAAACTCACGTGTATGGAGACACAACAGCGCGCAACAGATCCACACAACAGCAACCGGCTACTTTTAATTGTCCGTTTTTCCCAGGAGCTACCTATACGGGCTTTCGCCAGGGTACCTGGCGGAGGAAAAGGAGGAGGAGGAGGAGTCTCCGCACATTATACGGGCTTTCCTCTTTGGGCCCTCCCTTGTCTCTGGCGGCAGCTGACTGTTGGTCGATACCGAGACAACCTCGATGTACCGGGTCGAGTCCACAGAACCATACATTGAGGACCTGCGCCACTATTACCCGTTGCTGTATTAGGGGCACCTGCCGTTGTCTTCAACATCGCAAAGCCAAGGGTGAATCGCACATTTCGTGGAGGACTCCTGACAGATTCTTGGCTGCAGCCTACCTAACCTAATCCAAGCACGACAGCATCTGCTCCCTCTTTTTCTGCCACTCCTGATACGCCCGGCGCAACCAGACCGCCTATCAAACATGTCGAAATGCCACTAATTCTGCTGCCTGCTCGGCCGTCACCCGCGAGACCGTCGACTGCACGAACTGACGAATCCGGACGCTTCTCGGGACCCCCGTCACATGCTGTAACTAAAGCCGGCCTCCTAGTCTACTGCGACTCGCGACTCACCGCGATGCAGGATGGTCAATCTCCGTGGATCACTCGCTCCCGCCGTCTTGGCCCGCCAAAGGGGGAGGGAGGTCTTTCAGGCTGGAGACCTTTCCGATTCCGCACTGTTGTTGCCTCCACCACGGACCGTTTGAATCAAAATAATTGCCCCCTTTTTCTTTTTCTTTTTTTTATTCCTTCTTTCTGTGCTGTCTAGGCGCCTGGTTAGACACCCATCGCTTCGATGGCTTGGATAAGCTGACCAGGAGACTCCTCCTGGTGGTCATCATTTCTGACCGCCTCGAAACTCGCGTGGAGCAAGCCCCCCCCCTATGTAATCGGATCCACGACGTTGTTGGCAAGTTACAGACGACGGCGGCGTTGTAGGCTTTTTTTCTTTTTTTTCTTTTTGCGTGCTCACGCCATGCATATGGCAATGAAGCATCCCGTCCCGAGACCAAGTCAAGTTGCTCTTGCTGCGTCCGGGTTTGCCCGCCTCCCTTTATCGACATGAGGTTTTTAGTCACGGCCGCACGAGGGCTCTCTTATAATGATGGATGAGTGTGTGTGCCCCCCTATCTTTGTCTGGCGATGGTCGGTCGACTTGGGCATCACAGCCTCCTTCCTGGAGCACGCTTACACCCGTCAAACCGTACTTCCGGTGGATTTGTTTGTTTATTTATTTATTTGACTTCAGTTTATTGACGGTTCGTCTCGAAGAAAAATCCCATGCGGAGCGGGAAGACTGTTCGGCGTCTGGGAATCCTACTCTAAACTAGTGTATTTAAATAATAACAAAAAAGAGAGAAGGGAAAAAAAAAAAAAAAAACAGGAAAGAAAGAAAGAAAAGAAAGAGAGAAAGATAAAGAATGCTGTTCGATATGGGTACTAGACCCGATCAAAATCCCTGTCTCGAGCGGATACGTAGGTCGGATTTTATATGTCACTAAGGAGGGATCCTGATCCTTTGCAGGACGCGGCTCTCTCGCAAGGAACCCCCCTCCCTTTTTTTTATAGAGAAGCCCGTCGGGCGTCACTTAACGACAAGTAACCGCGAACAACCATCCAGCCGTGGAAACAAATACCGCCCAGGAAGTAGGGGGACTGACTGACTGTAGCAGCACATGCACAGACAGTTCGACAAATCGCCATCGAGAGCACAACTGCATTATTCCACACCGGTTCACGAGCGACATCACGGGAACGACACATCGTCGACTATTTTCCACCGGCGTATGCTTCAACTATACAGGCAGACATAACACGCGCGCGTACATAAAACGTAAACTTGGAAAATAGTGTTGGGCCAGCTGGTCATTGTATTCCCAAAGAACCACAACGGCTTCCCAATGCCAGAAAGAAAAACGCCAGCTCCTTGCCCTAAAGTAGTGTGTAATACAATCAATATCCTCTCCTCCTCCTCCTCCTCCTCCTCCTCCTCCTCAGCCTCGGACACGATAACAAGAAATCGAGTGCTCAACCTTTAACAGAGGACAGGGTGGCGACAGTTTCAGTAACTTCAGCGTCGGGGCTGCTGTGTAGCCAGATGAGGGAACAGGAGAGGAAAGTACATCTTCAAGACTAGTCCGGCCCCGATACTCGAGGCGCGAGGGTATCTGATACGTAAAAGAGCGTCATCGGGTGTTGTTTTTGCCTTTGCAGGCGTGTGTTGAGATGGTTTCGTGTGCTATTACTCGTGCAATCGTACTGTTTTTTTTCGTCGTGTCCAAGATGGAGAGAGACCATCTTCACAACTCGTCGCGGGCGTGCCGCACAGTCTCCTTGACGGCGTCCGTCACAGCAGAAGCAGCCGACGATACAGTAGCCGAGGCAGCACTGGCAAGGCTGGCGGCGGAGGCAATGCCCGTAGAGTAGGCGGCCTGCAGGCGAGCCAAAACGCTCTCGGAGTATGTAGGCTCCTTGCCAACCAGCAGTTCCGAGACAAGTTTGCTCATGTCTTCGTACTGCTTGACAGCGCGGTTTTGCGCCGCAGCGAGGCTCTCGGCGACGACGGCAGTGGCCTGCGATGCGTACTGTCCGGCACTGTCGTACCATGCGGTAGGGGTGGGCTTGCCGTAGATCTGGACGCTTGCGCGGCTCACTACAGCCTCCCAGGTATCCGACACACCCTTTTCGATGGCCTGTGCAGCGTCTACAACCTCTTGGACGCCAGCTGAGACGGAATTGCTAACAATCGAGGCAGCTGCCGAGAAGCCGTCGCTAACTGCCGATGCCACGGCAAGAGCCTCCTTTTGCGCTCCCGAGGCCACGGCGTCGGCTGAGCGGGTGGCAACAGAGGCAACAGAGGACGCGGTGCCGGCCACGTTGGTGGGAGTAGGCGTCGCGGTCGCGGCGTTCAGGGCCGAGGATGCAGCAGCCAAGAATTCCGAGTAGCGAGCATGGGCGACACCCACGCCAGCGTAGTAGTTGTACTTGGCTTGGTCGAGGAGCTTCTCAACCTGGGAAGTAGGGGTGGCAGTGGCAAGACCAAGCGCAATCTTGGCGCTCTCGTACTGTTGCTCGGCCCATAGGCGCCCCTCGTTGAGGCGCTGGGAAGCGATGGCCTCAACGCGGGCCCAGTCGTAGGAAGGAGTAGGCTTGGCGGGAACCGTTCCGTAAATCGCCTTGGAAGCCGCTTTGATGGCCTCGTCGTAGCGAGAGCTGGCAGCTGCGATGGCTTCGGCGTAGGCGCCAGAGGCAGATGCAATCAGCTTCTCCTGCGTCGGCTGGGGCGTGCCGTAGATCTTGGCAGAGATGGCAGCGCTCGCAGAGGAATACTGCGCCGAGGCCTTAGAAACAGCGGCAGAGTAAGCCTCCTGGGCCCTAGATGAAACGCTGTCGGCATCCTCGTCATCCTCCATAACCGGAACTCTGTTCGAGACAGACTGCGCGGCAGCCCCGAGGAAGGCGGGCTTGACAGTCTCGGTATCGGCAGCGACGGGCTTGTCCTCGGCAGACTCCAAGATGATCTCCTCTTCCAGCTTATCGCCGGGGACGGCGCTCTCCTCAGCGCCAGCAGGCGACGATCCTTCGGTGTCGGCGATGTAAGTCTGGTCGTCACCAGGGATAATGGTGGAGGCTAGGTCGGGCCCAGAAGCAGTGCTGGACGAGCTGCCGACTACAACGCTCGACGCTTGGCTGGCGGCACTGGTGGCGGATTCGGATACGGCGGAAGACACGGCGGGAATGCCACTGCTAAGACTCTCCTTGACTTCACTAGCAACGCTGCTAACAGAGCTTGCCGCTCCGTCAGAAGCGAGTTCGGTGGCGGGAGACTCGTTCTCGACCACGCTGGCAGCTGATTCCAGAGGGTCTTCCTCGGGAGTGGAGACGGCGTCGGAGGGAGTGACGGAAGGCTCGGTGGCACGAAGGCGCTCTGCTTCCTCGGCAGCGAGGCGGGCAGTTTCGCTGTCGAAGTTGTCCGACGAATCCTGGGCAGCGAGCTTCCAGAGGCCAACCTGCTTAAGCTTGGCAAGTTCTTGAGCAGCAGCTTGAGCGGCGGCCATGCCGGAGTCCTCGACCTCGTTGGAGGCTTCGCGTGCCTCTTGCAGGCCAGGGTGGGAGACGATGAGCTTCTTGAGGTCATTGGTCCACACCTCGAAGCGTTCCCTCAGCTCGTGGTACTTGGCCCAATCCTTGTAGGTAATGCCGTCCATCCAGGCCCACTTCATTCCAATCTTTTGGAGTGCCAAGTCTTGAATGCTCGCGAGGATCTTGAAGTGGGAATCAGCAGCCTCGCTAACGGCGCCCTCAATCTCGGCCTCGTAGTCTTCCTTCCAGGCGCGGATCTTCTGCGCCTTCTCCTTGATGTTGAGCCCAGCCTTCCGAACAGCGGCGAAAAGCTCGTCCTGGATGCCCTCGGGGGATTCGACAGACTTTTGGACAAGCTCGATGATCTTCTTCTGCAAAGAATTAACTTCAGTAATGGCTGCATTTTGCAGCTCGGCGACGAGGGCCTTGCCCTCGCCGTGGGCCTTCTCCTTGATCACGCGCTTGGAGATCTCCTCGACGCGGTCTTCAATCTCGGAGGCGCCCTCATCGGCGGCCTTGGCAAACTTGTCCTGCCAACTGCTGAGATCCTTAGCAACGGTTTCTTGGGCCTTCTTGCGGATTTCATCGGCGTCCTCATCAGGCGAGGGTGGCTGGACCTGCTCCGACTGGTCGTGCTGAGCGACCTCGGACGCGTCAGGGATGTGCGCGCTCTCGACTGCGGTGGAAGCCTTCTCCGAGGCGGAGGAGACGGCCGAAGAAACAGAAGAAACGACGGTGGAGGCCGTGGAAGCCACAGGCTTGGTGAATGAAGATGCCTTGGCAGCGGCGCTATGCAAAGTGTTAGTCTCTCGTCAGGTGCGTGGGCGTCATGGAGAATGGTTGGTACCTCTCAGAAACGTTCTCGATCGAGCCCTTAGTCTTGTTCTTATAGCGACCAAGGCGCTGACCGATCCTGGCCAGCTGGGGCTCGACATTCTCAATGTAGAGAACGCGGAACTGGGGCCAAACGGTAGCGTCAAGGAAGCTGTACGTCTTGTTCCAGGCCCAGTAGGCGGAAGGAACAGCCGTCTCAGTGGTGAAGTGCGAGGCGACAGCATAGCCCTGGGCAGCATAAGGGTGGACAAAATGGTATGAAGGCAGGATGACGTCGTGGTAAGTCTGGAGAGCACTAGTACGGGCGATGTCGTAGTAGGGGCCTATGCTGGTGGAAACTTTGGCGACGTGAGGAGCAACCGTCTGGTCATACTTGTCCTGGGCCTGCTTCTGGTAGACGGCGAGCTTCGGGTGAATGTTCTTGTCCCACTGGGCCTTACCGTAGGTTTGAGCCTGCTGCAGGCGGGGAGCGCCGTACTTGACGGCGTAGGCCTTGGTAGGGACGAGAACTCTCTCGTTGGCGATGTTGTAGTAGGGCGTCGCCTTCTCAACGTAGGGAGCGGCGTAGGTATGGTAGTAAGGCTCGAGATGGGGTGTGACGGCGTGTTTCAGTTGGAAGTAGGGCTTGCAGATCTTGGGAGAGGACTCATCGCAAGCCTCGAGGTTCGCAGGGCAGCGGAAGAGGACGGAGACGATGGAATACCAAGTCAGGATCCTGGATTGGGTTGTCAGTTAAGGGAGGTCTGGGGCATGACGACAGCGGGGACGAGTGCACCAACCTCGCAATCATGTTAAAAGAGCGGGCGAGCAGGGTCGGTCCCCTCTTGGGAGTTGTCCTCCTCTTGACCGTCACAGCCTGTCCGTTCATCTTCCCGTTCATCTTGCCGTTCATCTTGCCGTTTGCCTTTCCGTTAATCTTTCCATTCGGTGCCTTAGGGAAGCTGTTGGCGTAGCCACTGGTAGCCTCCATAGCGGAGGTTGTGCGTTGTAGAGTTTACCAGGCTGCTCGCTTACGAGTGACGTGATGCGCGTGCGTGTGTTGCCGAGAAAGCCGGAGAGACGGGGAGAGAAAGAGTCAAGTGGGCGGCGATGTGAACCGGATGCACGTATCGGGGGACGAGAGAGGGCGGTACTCGAAGCTGCGGTGAGCTAGGTAGATAGAAAGGTTGATTAGCTTGGTGGGTGATGAGGGGGGAGGAAGAAGGGAGGAAAAGAGGTAAAAACAAGCCGAGGGCGACGACGTAAGGTAGGGAAGGAAACAGAGGAGGAAAAAGGTAGCAGGCGAGGTAGTCGTTACACAACGAGCTCCGATGATTTTCATATGTCGCAGCTCCCAGTCGTCGGCGAACATGGGCTACACTAGTTCTGGCGGCCTGGACCGGGCTCGGTGGCTAGAAGAGCTGCTGCTCGTAGCCTCTCGCCTCGGGTGGATAGCGGACTGCGGGCTGCTTGCTTGGGAACTTTTTTTTTTTTTTTTGTACCAGGTAGGGTCGTAGGATTGTGGGGCTAGGAGTTTATGATGATTGATCTACCTTTGGGATGAATAGCGATGGTTTGGGTTGTTGTTTCGCTTCAGGGCGTCAAGGACCAACACTGCCTCACTGCTGAGATACGGTGTTGTGTATCGTATGTTGGGAAGTGGTAAATTCAGCAAGGACGGCTTAGTGAGAGGGAAAGACGGCAATGATGTTTGGAGATAAGATGAAAAAGAGGAAGACGAACAGGGGGGTTCGGTTTCGATGCAAGAAAGTCGGATTTCCTGTTAATGTGCTTTCTCCGTTTCCTCGGCCTTTGCCTTTCCCTGTCCCTTCCTCCCCCTTACGTAGTAGGTAGTACTAGTATCCTTCCTTACCCTTACCCTTAACCCTTGCTCTTTCTCTTTCTTTTCCCCTTCCCAACCTCGCCTACGTAGGAGGTAATCATTCCAGGCTGGCTGCTTCCTTCCTAGGTGCTCATGGCCAAGTTTCCACCTCCTCCTTCCCTAGTGTCTAGCCTGAGGAGGGTGGAGGGTGGAGGGTGGAGGGTGGAGGGTGGAAGAGGATGGGGGAGCACAGGCCTAGACTCGAATGTATCTTTTCGCCACGCTTACTGCGAAAATGTACCTTTCTCGGGCAAGCTTACATAAGCGTCAAATGCAGCTTCAGCAGCACCATCAACCATCATCTGCTGAAAAATGCAAAGAGCTGCTGCCCTGCCACCCATCTCGGTGGATGTCCATGTCTCACCAACGTCATTGTTTTCCCAGCTGTTGCCTTCAACGCGTGCTTCCAACCAACCAGACACGTTAGCAAGCATGCAAGTAACAAGCCAGCCGGCCAGTAGGACATCGCAGATCGATCAACGCGTTCCCTCCACCTCGACCTCGCTTCGATGCTTGTTTCTGCCAGCCATCCCATGGGTGTTATACACTTAGGTACTGCGTAGGTACGGATACTCTGTATACTTCGTAGGTACTCTCTCTCCAGGACATTGAAACTGGATAACAACCCTGCCAAAGGAGGCGCGCAGGAACGGATGAGCCGGCATGATTGGCAGACGGCCTTGGTACCCATGCCGCCCTCCGCGAGCCACAGGCCCATCCCGAAACACCCCAACCAGGGTCCAATCAAGTGGGTCGTACGAGGCTCTAGTGATGCAGTATTGCATCGTTCGCACGCAAGTGTGGCTCACCATCTTGGATTTCTTGGGCCTTTTTTGGAGCTGGGGAAATAAGGCAGTGATTATGATGATAATGATGCTGTTTGTTGTCTTGGTGATGACTACCTACACAGCATCTAGACCTTGCAGTCCAGTACCTACACTAGGTAGATAGCTACTTACCCCACCTACCTAGGTATCTCGGTTGCTCGATACGAGAGGGTTCCTGACGGTGAGAACGCCATCTGATCTGACATGTGCTTCGTGCACCGCAGAGACGCCAGTTTTGGCATGGCCTTGAGAATGCCCAGATAGTGTACTTGCAAACTTATGGGCAACTCGGACCTCCTATCGAATAACACCCGATGTCTGCGCATTCACTCAAGTGGCACATTGGTTGGACTTGCTCTTCAACGACGCTGCCGGTGGGAACTGTCATCAAAAACGTTGAGGTGCACCCCGACATGCCAGAGGCGCAATGGCATAATGACGCCGCCGCCAGCGCCAAGCTAATGTCATGGCCATGCCTTCCCCAAAATCACCTAGAGGCTACAGATACCTACACCTAGGAAGGTAGATACCTAGGTACCTGGGTTGAAGGTAGCACTGCAGATACCTATGTACTCATTAGGTAATCAGACGACGAAGTCGAAGAAACTCGGTCACGTGCCGTGAGACCATAGTCAGCTTAGCAGGCATTTACTTCACCCAGCGGAAGACCCACAGAGGCAAAGCGGATAATTCGATTATCCGGACCCTGTCCCGGACCCCTGCTCGGACCACAGTTGCGGTCTCAACGGGACTGGCCCAGCCAGTCAGTCCAGCCACTGCTACTGACACTGCCTACTGGACCCGAACCACCCGAACCTTCAACAATCCTAGCGCAAGTGATCTTTTGGCCGATTTGATTAATTAATCCCCCATCCAAGTCCCAGTTCACGATTGTTCTCGAGTGGCTTGCTTGCTTGTATGCCTTGACGACTCGCCCATGATACCCAAACCCTTTCGTCTTTGAACTCTTTCATTTCTCACTTGTTCATTTCTCGACCTGTACAGCAGTTTGCCACGTTCAACAGGCTGTCTGCCCCCGCACCCCCCCCCCCGTCTCTGCTGCTTCAACTGCGCACCTAGCTTTGACTCCAAACTTCAACCTCGAACCCTGCGAGCTCCCCTTAACTCACGTGTCCATACCCCGAAATCCGAATTCCGAATTCGATTCGCGGCCATCGTCAACCCTGCTTACGAGCTCACGAGCTTTTGGCCATCCTGTCTCATCACCGTCCACCGTCTAGGGTCACTCATGAGTTCCTAAAAGATCTGCACTTCTGCAAAGGGCTTACGTCCCCGCTGCTGCTGCTGCCGCCGCCGCCGACTCCCACCAACCCATCACCATGGACGACCCCGCGATGGAGCCGCTCATGGCCGCGGACGCTGTCGCCCACCCTCACCGGCGCTTTTCGTCCTCGAAACCTTCTTCTGCCCTACACGAGTATGCGAGGCCACGATCCCAAGCCAACGATGCCGGCGCACTCGATCCAGACACCTGCCGCATTTGCAGAGGAGAAGCAACCGCCGACGAGCCTCTCTTCTACCCGTGCAAATGCAGCGGCAGCATCAAATACGTCCATCAAGACTGCCTGATGGAGTGGCTCTCCCACTCGCAGAAGAAGCACTGCGAGCTGTGCAAGACGCCATTCCGCTTTACGAAGCTGTACTCGCCCAAGATGCCCAAGACGTTGCCTGCCCACGTCTTCGTCGGCCACATGGCCAAGTATCTCTTCCGGAATCTCCTCGTATGGCTACGAGCTGCCCTCGTCATCAGTGTCTGGCTTTGTTGGTTGCCCTACCTGATGCGCTCCGTCTGGGCTTTCTTGTTCTGGGTCAGCGACGAGGGTCTGGGCAGCGGCGCCCTGTGGAACAGTTCGAATGCGACCGTCAGCCGCGGCGTCTCGGTTGCCTTCTCTGTCGCCAATTCTTACGTCTGCCCTGCATCGCCGCTCCTCGAACCAACCACGACGCCCGCAAACTTGGGAACCATGCTGAAAGACATTATCCAGGGACAAGAACTCCCCTTCAGCCGGTCATTCCACGGTGTCAACATCACAACCAATGATTCCATGTCGGCTGCCCTCTTGAGGATGCTACTCGGTTCCATCACATCCTCGGGCTCCACCAATTCAACTGGAACGCCCACCGGAGGCGGTGACCCTGTCCTGGACCGCCACCCGTCTCTGTTGAGCGGCGTGTCGTGGTTGCGGAACATGACTAGATATCCAGTGGTGAACCGGACCATTATTGGCGTGCTAGAGGGCCAGATCATTACAATCCTAGTCATCATCTCGTTCATTCTCGTCATCCTGGTTCGCGACTATGTTGTCCAGCAGCAACCGGAAATCAACATGCGGGCTGCCTTCGCTGTCAATGACAACCAGCAGCCGCAACCTCCTGTGCAACCGCAAGACCAGCACCAACATCATCATCACGAGCATGATGACGACGCCGACATGCTTGACAACTTCAATGACGAGGACTTGAGAGGTCCGAGTGAAAGCGATGAGGATGACGACGAATCGATAACCGGCCAGCGACCCGGAGACCAGGAACCTATGTCTCATGTGCCTTGGAACGACCAAGAAGCGACAGCTGAAGCTGCGGGACCTTCACTGCCAAGGCATCTCGACACTCTTGGTCCGCGCGCTTACGGCAACACCGGACCGGAATTCGACTTCAACACGCCGCCAGAAGGTCGCACCGACAAGGACAAGGACACACAAGCCCCTGTCGCAGCTGTGCACGAGTACCTGCGGATATATCGCCAAGCCAATGGTGATCCCGAAAAGATCCTCAAAATCATCGAGGACGAGGACTTGGACGAGCCGCTAGGCTACTGGGCCAGGATCACAAAGTCCATGATGGACAAGAACCGAGAGGCGGGCGTGACTCAGCCGAGGAAGAATGACTCCAGATCCGATGGACCCTCGACCTCCAGAGATTCGCCAGCCCCGACTCCCTTCACGGTTCAGCTGCCTGCCCCCTCAACACCGCAATTCTCCTGGCCCACCTACCATTCAGGTGAAAATAGCACGGATGAGAGTGGCAAAGGCAAGGGCAAGATCGCACAGCAAGCAGACGGGCAAGAACCCGTCGATCGCGGCGAAGGTGCAAGCGAGTGGAGGTCGACATCCTACCAAAGCCCCCTACGACCTAGATCTGTCTCTGACGGCCCGCAACGGAGCGATACCATCAACCCCCTGGCAAACAACAGCTGGTCTTTCTCGGGTCTGAACACGACACCTCCAGCTGAGCCCGTGACTGAGGAGCCGGTGCAAACGTCCGGCGCCAATCCCCGAGCTTACGATATTGGTCCTTCTGCAGGTCGCTCCACTCCGCCCCGCAGCAACTCCCCCGAGTACGGCTCCGACCTGGATTTTGGATTCGGCGTTGCGGAGCCTCAAGAGAACGGTTCTTTCGATCCCCGAGGCTCAGATGCGCAGCCCGTAGATCGCGTTGGCCCGCGACAAGACGATGGCACCGTCGTAGAAGCGGTCCAAGAGAACAACGACATGCCAGAAACCGAGGACGTCCGAGTGGCTCAGCGTCCGCCTCTTCAGCGAGGGGTCATGGACCGAGTCGCCGACTTTTTGTGGGGCGATATTGAGATCCGAGAGCTGGACATTGGCGGACGCGACGACGAGGCTGTTCATGAACATGATCATGACAGCGACGATGATGAGTTCGATGACATGGATGATGACCAGGACGGCGTTGAGCAGGATCGGGAGGTTGTCGAAGCGGCCGTCGCCGCCGGCCTTGACCCTGAAGCGATCGATGATGCCGAGGACTTCGAGGGCATCATGGAGTTGATCGGCATGCGCGGGCCCATCGCGGGCCTCTTCCAAAACGCCATCTTCTGCGTCGTGCTCGTTTCAGTCACCATCTTTGTCTGCGTCTTCGTACCTTACAACCTAGGACGAATCAGCGTCTGGGCAGCGATGAACCCCATGCGCTTAGTTCGTATGCTTTTCAGCATGACCAAGTTCGTTCAAGATGTGGCGGTTGGCGTCATGGCCGGCCTGGGCAGCCTCGCTCTGTCCTTTGTTTACACGACAGGAAGAATGATGGGCTTCCCAGCCGGGAACGGGGTTGGCTTGCTCATGACCAAGACTTTCAACATCTTCATGAGTGCATCGAGTCGGGTTCTCGAAAGTCTGACCAGCGAATTGCCAATCATCTCAACCACCGAGATGCAGAACTTTTCCGCCATCAGCCACGAGGCACTCCTCAACTTCAAATCCTACTTGTCTGGCTCGCTTGCCGCTGTAGGCGACATTCTGAGCTCCATTTTCGACCGCGACCTCGTCACAAACGCCAAGCACGTGGCATCCCTTTCTGCAAATGCAACCATGTTTGCGTGGAACGCCGCTCGGGACGTTCCCATCAGCGTCCTCAACCCTGGCTCATGGGTAATCAGCTTTAGTGTGCCTGAGCCTTCGGTAGCTGTGAATCCTGCGTTGTCGTATTGGTCAGGCAACGACCGATTCTGGGCCATTCTCTGCGGATACTTTACCTTCTCGGCCATCAGCGCGCTCTACTTACGACGCGGCTCCCCGTTCTCCACCGGACCGACAGGCCAGGAGTGGGAAGCTTCGTTGATCGACTTGCTCAACCAGGCCAGCGGCGTCATGAAGGTCATTCTCATCATCAGTATCGAGATGCTCATCTTCCCGCTCTACTGCGGTCTCCTCTTGGACGTCGCTCTTCTTCCCCTGTTCGAAGCAACCACCCTCAAATCCCGGGTCGCCTTTACGATCAACTTTCCGCTAACCTCAATATTCGTGCACTGGTTCGTGGGCACAGGATACATGTTTCACTTTGCACTGTTCGTCTCCATGTGCCGGAAGATAATGCGCAAGGGCGTTCTCTGTAAGTTTGTTCGTCTCGTGCCCCCAGTTCATTCGCCCGCTGACACTGGCAGACTTTATCCGGGACCCCGATGACCCAGAGTTCCATCCTGTCCGCGATGTACTGGAGCGCAACGTCATGACGCAGCTGCGCAAGATTCTGTTCTCCGCCTTTGTGTATGGCGCACTTGTCATCGTTTGCCTCGGCGGTGTGGTCTGGGGTCTGGCTCTCAGCCTTCCCAACGTGCTGCCCATTCACTACTCGTCCAACGAGCCTGTACTAGAGTTCCCGGTCGACCTGCTCTTCTACAACTTCGCAATGCCTCTGGCGGTCAAGTTCTTCAAGCCCAGCGATGGCCTGCACGCCATGTACACCTGGTGGTTCCGGAAGTGCGCTCGAGGACTTCGCCTGACCTGGTTTCTGTTCGGCGAGCGTCGCATCGACGAGGAAGGGATTCTGGCTGTGCGCCCGGGTTCGGACCTCGAGAACCTACCATGGTGGAGGCGACTGTTTCTGGAGGTCAATAAGCAGGACAAAGTTGTGCCGAAGACGTGGGAAGATACCTTCGAGGGTGGCACAGCCAAACCAACATCATCAATTCCCAATGATCAAATGATAAATCTGAGTCTCAGAAAAGCTAGGCTTGTACGCACCGGACAGTTGATCGAAGACGGCCAATATGTGCGCACGCCTGCGTCGGACCAGGTCAAGATTCCCAAGGGAAGACGCGTGTTTATGCCCGTTTCCGAGGCCAACACTCGTTTGGACGGCAAACCCGACTCCCCAGACACGGACCTCTACTCGACAGACCAGTATCAGCTGGTGTACGTCCCACCGCACTTCCGAGCCAGGGTCTTCCTGTTCATCATGTTCATCTGGATGTTTGCCGCCGTTACAGGCGTGAGCTTCACAATCGTGCCTCTTGTTTTCGGTCGCAAGATGTTCAAGGTCCTCATCCCTGCGCATATCCGGACCAACGACATATACGCTTTCAGCATCGGCATCTACATCCTAGGTTCCGCAGCCTACTTCCTCTTCCACGCCCGCTCCATGTTCAGAAAGATGACGGCCTGGGCCACCAAGACCCTGCAGTCCGTGTGGCAGAGCAATGCTCCGATGGGGGTAGCACTCATGGCAATTCAAGTAGTCAGGCTTGCCTATGCGTACACCATCCTTCTGATCATTTTCCCTCTCATCCTGACAGCGCTCATGGAGCTGTACTGCCTCATTCCCATGCACACCTACATGTATCCGCCGACACCTTACACGGCCGGGACCAACAACAACGGGCAGTTCAAGGACGGCGTCATCGTTTCCAACCAGCACACGGCAAGAGTCATACAATCGTGGACCTTGGGCTTGCTTTACGTCAAGCTCGGCGCTCGCGCCATCACCAGCCTATACGAGGGCACCCGCATGGCCCAAGCTGTGCGCGCCGTGCTGCGTCGTGGTTGGCTGCAACCCGACGTGCTCGTTCTGACGCGGGCGTTCGTGGTGCCTGGCCTCCTCATCGGGGGGCTCGCGATCTTTGGGCCTCCTTACGCCGTGGGCTGGATGGAGTCTCACGGGGTCCTCGGAACACCGGGGCCTGCACCTCACGAACTCAAGATGATTTACCGTTTGTCGTACCCGGCCGCGGCGTTCAGCGCGCTGGCTGCTATGGCTTTCTGGAGCATCGTGGGCGTGTTCAACAACTGGAAGGCGCGCATCAGGGACGAGGCCTACCTTATTGGGGAGAGGCTTCACAACTTTGGCGTCGGTGCTGCTGGTGCCGCGAGCGCGCGTAGCCCTTGGAGAGTCAGGGGTCGTGTATGATAACACGGCCGGCGTGTGTTCCGATGAACGAGGTTTCAGTTGTGCACATATTCTCATAGAAGAACAAGAGCATCTGGCGAACAGTGCTGTTTCGTATAACTTGTACAGAGCAGAGAGCTCATGACCCCCCCATGTATACATGTACATAGATGGTACAGTGTCCTATTCATACCCAGCTCCAATGGCTGTTTTTTTGTTCGATCGGGGATTTAGGTTTGTGTTGATTACCACAGGCTTCTCAAGATGTACACAATTTCTGTTTGGGTGATGTACATGATCCAAGAGCCCAAGACTGCAAGCCGTTGACAACTCGTGTGTACGCAAAACATATTCTCAATGTGCCGTGCTTTTTGACGGCTGTGGACTTCTCTTTGATAGAGAAAACCCAACCGATGAATTGTTCATATCGTTTTATTGCAAGCCGCCAAAGGCCATTATGGGGGGGCTTTTTTTTTTTTCTTTTTCCAAAAATATTCAACATACAAAAAACAGGGACGGGGGGTGTGTTTCTCTTCTCCTCCCCCCTTCCTCCCAGGCAAACAAACTAGAAGAGCATGGCAGCACCGCCGACGGCAGCGGCGACGGACGTAAGCAGTCCGGCGGCGACGGCGCCGGCGGAGAAGAGGTTCCCGACGGCGACGCGGGGGGCGGCGGAGTTGGGGGAGGTGGAGGCGGAGGCAGAGGCGGCGGGGGTGCCGGAGGAGGGCGCACCGCCGGCGGAGGCGCCGCCGCCGCTGACGAGGGCGGTGAGGGAGGAATCGCTGGTGAAGTCGGCGGTGATGGTCGCGTTCTTGCACTCGGAGCGGGTGGGGGCGGTGCCGGAGACGAAGTTGACGGCGGAGCACTGGGCGGGCGTTAGTCGGGGCTTTTCTTTTCTATTTTTTTTTCCCTCTCTCCCTCTCTTTCTCTCCCTCCCCTTTGATTTCATTGACTTCTTATGACTTACAACGTACAGCAGGCCGTCGGGCGAGTGGGCGACGACGCTGATGATGCCCTTCTTGCCGGTGAAGTTGCCGGGGACGACGATGTGGGGCTCGCAGAAGTTGCCGAGGCCGGTCTGCATGACGATGGGGAAGAGCTGGACCCAGCCGCCGGCGGCGGTCAGGTCGGTGGTGGCGCGGAAGAGCCAGTTGCTCTGGGGGTGGCCATTCTGCATGCCGATGGCGTCGCCCCCGACGTAGAAGTCGGTGGTCTTGGTGGAGGAGGAGACGGAGAAGCCGCCGCAGGGGGCGGTGGCCTCCGACTCGTCGCTGTCGCTCAGGGGCGGGGGGAGGGTGAGGGAGAAGTGGGCGGTCGCGACGGAGGCGAGGGCAAGGAGGGGGAGCAGGACACGGGTCATTTTGGCGGCGGGTTGCGTTTGTGGTTTGTGGTTTGTGGTTTGGTTTATATGTTCGTCTTGGAGGTGACGAATGTGTTTGAATAGAGTATGTCGGCACGGAGACGGCACGGAGCACGAGGCGGTGGAAGAGGTCTTGTGGTAAGGATTGGACTTTGAGATGAGATATCAGAAGGCTCGACACAATGCTGACGGGGCACACGGGCTGTTTATGAACGGACGCGCGAGCATAGGAATTGGTCAATTGGAAGAGGGAGGCGAAGAGGAGGGGGTGGGAACTTGTCCCGAGCAACGGGCTGATAGGGCTAAGCCTGGTTGCACCGTTGGTCTCGAACAAGCCAAGCTTAACTGTGTTGAGAACACGAGAGCTCTTCAAGGCCTCACACGGGTATGACGGCGTCATGGGGGATCCCGGGGGAACGGTATCATCGCAAACCGAGGAGCCCGGACGTGACGAGAGAACAATCCTAGATTCGGGATTCGGCACAGGGACAAAGAACTATAAAAGAAGCTGGCCGTGACTGGGCCGGTTGCTGGACTTTTCCCCTCACGGCCTAAGAGGGATTCAAGTGAAAACTTGCTCACGGCAGCATGATCTCCAGACTAGCTCCAGAGCTTCACAGGCAACCGGGGTTGTATATTTGCCTTTGCCCAAGATGCGGGGAGACGGCGGGATGTTGCTACGGGCCCTGAGAACGACTCATATGTAGAGATACAGAGGACGATAGGGACTACAGGCTATTTGGGAACCGAACGTCGAGGCTCTGTCGAGAGCTGCTCGATATACAAATAGACCGAGTTGTCGCCCAGCCATGTCTCCTCTTAAGACAACGGTGTCGTATCGAGCAGTCGTCGTGGGGATTGGGCCATATCGCCGTCGACGGAGTAGTCCAAAGTGAAGAGGGATGGTGATTAAACCTTGATCGGATTAGCTCCGTGATATGCACAGGGGTTCGATGTCCTTGGGCCGAACTCGAGCCAATCACAGAGCGGAATGAGGGTTGTCATTGAGAGGGTTTGAGCAAATTGTGGCGTCTGCGCGCGCATTCCCTTCCCCCTCACTCTCTACCCCGGGGCTTTGGGACTGCGTCTAGTAACTATGATGGATAGACTCCAGGGGTGCTTCATCTACTGTTCTGAGAATGTTTCTTAGGCAACATGACAGTGTTTGGTGAGTTGGAGACAAAACCCTGAATGATTCCGGGGGGTGTGCTTGATGTTTCTTTGCGCCTGTTTGAAGGGGAAAGAGACGAGAAAGAAGCATTTGAAGAGACGGATAGACTATCGACAGGGTGGACAGATAACTGTGTAAGTGTGAAAACACAAATTGCCCGGCCTTGGTCATGTTTGATATGTAACACCGCGTGCCCCGTAGCCGTAGCGTTCAGATATCGAAAAAGTGAATCTTTCTGTTCATGTAGAACTCAGCACGCCGTCCTGACTGGGTTCGGCCGAGTTTCGAGTGGAAGTGTAGCCGAGACCGTGGACAGGCATACCTTGCCGTACCAACCGAGTCGACCCTCCCCCGTGGGAGAGCGGATCATCAAGTCAAGTTGCCTTGTGGGAAGCATCCCACCCCTCATGCCGTTCCATGCCATCCCATGCCATGTCATTGCCATGCCCGCTCGGATGAGCCCTGGGCCGCGGCGCGCTAATTGCATAGCAGTGGCAACGACCGGCCCTTCCAGCAGCCGCCCTCTGAGCCTGCGTATCATCTGCCAAGGTTAAGCCGTTCCATAAACAGCAGTTTTGTCTAGACTGATCTTTACTAGTATCTGACATCCTGCTCATGCTGCCGAGAGTCTGCGTCTGTCTTGAACTTGCTCAATCCACCTCATCGCCAACCGGATCTCCCGTCTTCAAACGTAGGAACGTCGGGCCTTTGGAAACTAGTTACAGGCGCTTCCCTCCCGTCGTCTCGCCACAGAGCAAACAGCGACCTTCACAGCCCTTCACTCACGTTCATGCGCCGATGAGAGGGGGGTTTTGTTTGTGAGATGGTTCCGCAAGCTTCGTCATAACCTCGTGACCTTGGCGCGGCGCTGTTATTCCTTTCCCGACGTGTCCTCGCCGCCGCTGCTTTTTCCGCCTCTCACTCGATCCTGACACGCGCCGCCGACTGAGAAATACGGACGCTTTTGTAAACTGACGGCGCTGGGTATCGTCGACCATCTCGAGGGCAAACATACTGAAGTTGGGCTCTCGCACCAGTGTCGTTGGCTTGATCGCTTGCCGCACAACGACCCGGTGCTTATTCATCTCACGGCAATGAGCCATAACCATGGAGGAGGAGGAGGAGGGGGAATGGACGGGATGGGCGGAATGGGCGGGATGACGATGGGAACGGCGCTGTTCCAGGACACCAACATCCAGCTCGCGCAGTCGTTCTGGTACATCATCGCCGGCGTCGTGGGGTTCCTCGGCATCATCCGGGGCATCAACTACCTCGAAGGCCTCAGAAGGTGAGAAGAGACCCCCCTTCTATTTTTCCTCTTGAACCATCCCTCTCTGGTGCTGTGATACTTACACATCTAGGCTACGGCGATGCCGCTCCGAGTCGGTACGGTTCCCGACCCGCCCCTCGAACCGCATCACGCAGACATGGGCGACGGCGACGGCCATCGTCCGCGAGGCGGGACACCCGCAGCTTTACATCCCCGTCCGAGGCATGCGGTGGGCGACGCCGCCGCCGCTCGGCCGCGTGCTCGTCCTGCTGGCATACTGGGCCGTCATCATATACATGATGGCCAACGACGCAGTCGTCAAGGACGCCTACTTCTGGGAGCGCATCGGGTTCCGCAACGCCTGGGTGACGCTCATGCAGATGCCGCTCGTCTACCTGCTCTCCATGAAAGTCAGCCCCGTCAGCCTCATCGCCGGCATCTCGCACGAGCGGCTCAACTGGCTGCACCGCTGGGTCGGCCGGACAATGTTCGTCACGGCGACGGTGCACGGCTTCCACTTCTGGACCGAGTGGGTGCGCGCCGACTTCGTCGAGGCGCAGCTGCGCATCCTGCCGGCCATCAAGTACGGCCTCGGGGCGTGGGGTCTGCTGGTCTGGACGTTCCTCGTCGGGGTGCAGCCCATCCGCGGCATGGCGTACGAGCTGTTCGTCGCGCAGCACGTGCTGACGGCCGCCCTTTTCCTCTGGCTGGTGTACGTCCACATCCCCAACTACGCGCAACAGTACCTCTGGTTCGCGATCGCCCTCGTCTGCTTCGACCGCCTCGCGCGGTGGGCGTTCCTCGCCTGGCAGAACATGCGGCTCCGGCCGCCGGACCGGTCGGCGTGCAAGAGTATGAGGCGCCTGGGGCACGAGGTCCAGGTCCAGGCGGTGGGCCCGTCGACGACGGTTCTGACGATCAAAGACGTGCACTTTTCGTGGAAGGCCGGACAGCACCTGTACCTCTGGCTGCCCCGGGTCGGGCCCCTGGAGGCGCACCCGTACACCATCGCCTGCGCGCACCAGCTGCCGGACACGTGCGTGTGCAACAGCATCCAGCTGGTCATCCGGTCGCACGGGGGCTTCTCGAAGCGGCTGCACCGGTACGCGCAGAAGGCGTTGGAGTCGTCGTCGTCGTCGTCGTCGTCGTCGTCGGGGGGGAGCAAGAAGGAAACGCTAACGGGGTTCGTGATGGGCCCGTACGGGGCGCCGCCGCGGTGGGACATCTACGAGACCATGGTTCTCATCTCGGCGTCAACGGGGGCATCGTTCACGCTGCCCATCCTCGAGAGCATCGTGCAGAGCGGGCGGCGGCGGGGCTGCACGACGCGGGTCGAGTTCGTGCTCCTGGCTCGCCAGGGCGAGGAGATTGAGTTTTACACGCGGCGGCTGCGGGAGTCGATGGACCGCGCGCAGCAGGCCGGCCTCGAGCTGCGGGTGCACATCGCCATCACGCGGTCGGGCAAGGCGAGGGAGGGGGACGCCTCGGCGGCGGTGCTCTGCCTGGACGACGACGACGACCGCGGCGGGGGCTTCGGCACGACCTCGTCTTCGTCGTCATCGGCGGCGGCGGCGGCGGCGGCAGCACAACACCGTAGGGACACGTCAGACGGCTCCGTCAGCGGGGACTGTTGTCGAGAGGAACAGGCCATGCTGGACCTGGAGAAAGGGGACGGGGTGCAGCTGACGCAGCGGCCGCGGAGCGGCTCCATGGCGGGCATGGTGAGGGAGTACTACTGCCGGCCGGACCTCGAGGAGCTCATCAGGGAGCCGGTGGAGGCGGCGGGCGGCGACACGTCGGTGGTGGTGTGCGGAGGACGGTCGCTGACGAGCTCGGTCCGGAACTGCGTGGCCGCGCTCTCGGACGAGAGGGCGGTGCACAAGGGGACGGGGGCGCAGGGCATCCATCTGTTTGTGGAGGAGTATTCGTTCTAGACGTGTGTAATGCGTGTGTAATGACGGGGGGGCGGTAATACCATTTGCTTTCATGGGGCTTATATTTATAGAAATGAGACGACAGAATGATCATTCGCCGCTTGTGGAAATAACCAAGCTTACTGCGGACGCAGGCCGTGAAGGCAACAGTAGGAAGGACGTAATGAAAGTCCCAAATAGAGAAACCAGGATCTGTACAATGTGTTTACACACGTTCTGGTAGCCAAAGTCGTCGGGTGGCAGTTATCTATTGCAATGAATAGCATGGGTTCAAAGCCCCGTAAGCCCGTATAGTCATGGAGAGGCTATGGGCTCGCAGAGCTAGACCAGATGACTATGTATACTTGAAAGTACTTGGGGGTTTACATTCATCTCAGAGAATAAGTTGACTGTTGATCATGCCTCGTCTCTACGGATAAATAATCCAGCGGCAAAAGCTAGATCCCATCAAGCTCAATGTTAATGAACACAGAGGGCCTACCTCTTTTGGCTATCTAGTATGCCATGTGGTGTTGGCCACAATTAATGCTTGAGGGCCGAGTAAGAAGTGGCTGTCGGTCTGTTCGTGTCTATGTATTACGTTTGGCGCGAGGGAAGAGAAGAAATATACTTTGTTGTAATTGCGATATTATCAGAGTATGGAGTGACGCAGACTGCATAATGGTAGCCGAACAGAGGACCAGTTACGAGGATATAGCACAGATGGATAGATTGGCTATACGATATGAAAGTCTGACTACTAGTAACAGAGCTATTACAGTAAAGGTAAAATTAAAAAAGATATCACAACCACAATGGGTTATATGGCAGATTACAAAAAGTTATACAGTATATACTGCCTATTACAGTATAGTATATGAATTTCTACCAAAGGAGGCCTAAGTTAGTGTGGCTCATGAGATGAGCCACATCATGTAGGATGTCACATGACCGACCTTGAGCTACCTATCCATGAGCCCTGGCACATGGGTTACCGTTTTTGACAATTCAAGCCTCTCTTCAACCTTTAGAACACCCACTGCTATGTGCCCTAACTCATGAGACTTTTGTAGTGTGACCTGATTTGAAGTGCTACTGACTGGAGCTTCAGTGTAGCAGGAGTAAGAAGGCACGTATGAACGTTCTTACACGACGATGCGACGATAGAGACGCCTTATATGTTCGTGTAAGCTCATGTCAGAGAAATCCAGATTCATTCAGAGCCATAAAGATGTTTAACTCGGCAATCAAGGACATCGTACCCCTAAAACCAAAAAGCCAAAGACGTACACAGAGCTAGGGAGGCCGAGAATCGAGTTTAATCACAGAAACAATGAGTCTTGCACGAGTTTGCTTTTATGAGTCAATTGAAAATCTCATGAGCCACACCACCATATTTGGCAATCTCATTATACACTGATTTTGTGTTCAGGAGACAATGGACGACAATTGGAGTCATCAAGAAGTCAGTGTACCGCCTCACCGACAACAATAGGACATTTCCTCGGTGTGCATGGGGTAGCTTACCTAAGGAAGACCCTCCTTAGGATGTCACTGTTACCCCTCATTTCGGTGAGGGCTCCCCAGCCTCGGTGAGTGGCCAACCACAGCCACGAATGGGGCTGGTGACTCAGTGCTGGCTGCAATTTTTTTTTATTTTTTTCTCCATCGTTTCCCCCCCTCTATGCGACAAAGCCCTTCTGCCCCTCCATCCCCCCCTCCTCTTCCTGTCCACCCCTGGCAAAACCCAGTCAAGTTTCTTAATGACTAGCGTCGCGCGCTTCCTCTTCTCTCCTTCGTCTTCACTTCGTTCAGCCCACGTTTATACCACCAGCCTTCGCCGAGGAGCCTCTCCAGCCTCGCCTTTGACCTCCAACCATCTTCGATCGGCCTCCCGCCTCTTCTCGTCCTCGTCCCCGAATCTATCGTCTCTCGTCAACCCTCCCTGCAACCCCACCCCCGCCAATCTCGCGACAATGGCCGACCAGCTGACGGCTCAGCTGGAGAAGCTGTCTATCGGCAAGCTCGAGTCCTTCCCCGGCTGCTACCCCGACGTCAACCCAATCGACATCTACCGCTCCCACATCACCTCGCTGCTCCACGATGTGACGGGAGTCGAGAAGACCATCGTCTACAATGCTCTGCAGTGGACCCAGAGCCTGGATAAGGGTGACCTGGTTCTGGCCGTCCCTGCCCTGCGCATCAAGGGCAAGAAACCTGCAGAGCTCACTGCCGAGTGGCTCGACAAGGTACGTTCCGCCGTCGTCGATCGAGGATACTAGACGCGCCGAGCTCTCCCCCCCTCCCACCTACGCGCCCTCCGCCAGAGCAGTTGGCTAACGTCGCACCGTTTCGCAGTTCCCCGAGTCCCCCTTGATCGAGAAGCCCATCTCCCTCCAGAACGGCTCCTTCCTCCAGTTCTGGTTCAAGACCGGACCCCTGTCCCAGCTCCTCATCCCCCAGGTGCGGAACCGCGGCCAGACCTTCGGCAAGAACCCCAACAACGGCCTCAAGAACCCCGAGGACCCTTCCCAGGGCAAGAAGAAGATCATTGTCGAGTTCTCCTCGCCAAACATTGCCAAGCCTTTCCACGCCGGTCATCTGCGAAGCACCATCATCGGCGGCTTCATCGCCAACCTCTACGACGGCGCGGGCTGGGACGTCACCCGCATCAACTACCTCGGCGATTGGGGCAAGCAGTATGGCCTCCTGGCTCTGGGCTTCGAACGTTTCGGTAGCGAGGCCGCCCTCAAGGAGGACCCCATCAACCACCTGTACGAGGTCTACGTCAAGATCAACGCTGCCATGAGCGACGAGAAGGAGCAGATCGCGGCCAAGGAGCAGGCCGGCGAGGACGTCACCGCCCTCAAGGACAACAGCCTGGACGAGCAGGCCCGCAAGTACTTCAAGGCCATGGTCGCCGGCGACGAGGCCGCCGTTGCCCAGTGGAAGCGCTTCCGTGATCTCAGCATCACCCGCTACAAGGAGACGTACGCCCGCCTCAACATTCACTTTGACGAGTACTCGGGCGAGAGCCAGGTTTCCGAGCAAGACATGGAGGCCGCGGCCAAGAAGCTCCAGGACATGAAAATCTCGGAGGAGTCGGAGGGCGCCGTCATCATTGACTTCTCCAAGCACATCCCCGGCAAGGCCGGCAAGAGCCTGGAGCGTCCCATCATCCGGAAGAAGGACGGCACAGCCCTGTACCTGACCCGAGACATCAGCGAGCTCCTGCACCGCGAGAAGAAGTACAACTTTGATCACATGATTTACGTCGTCGCCTCTCAGCAGGACCTGCACCTGAAGCAGCTCTTCAAGATCATCGAGCTGATGGGCTACCCCGAAACGGCAAAGAAGTGCCAGCACATCAACTTCGGCATGGTGCTCGGCATGAGCACGCGAAAGGGCACAGTCAAGTTCTTGGACGACATCCTGCGCGACGTGGGAGACAAGATGCACGAGGTGATGAAGAAGAACGAGGCCAAGTACTCCCAGGTCGAGAACCCGGAGGCCACCGCCGACATCCTTGGCATCAGCAGTGTCATGGTCCAGGACATGAGCGGAAAGAGGTAAGTAATGCCGTCCGTACTTTTTCCCGTGCCGCTCTCCCGGTCGCGCTAACACGTTATATTACCTGCCCAGGATCAACAACTACAAGTTCGACATGGACACCATGACCTCGTTCGAGGGTGACACCGGCCCCTACCTCCAGTACGCCCACGCGCGCTTGTGCTCCATCTTCCGCAAGGCCGGCGTTCCGGAAGAAGAGGTCGTCAAGGCCGACCTCAGCCTGTTGACGGAGAAGCATGCCATCGAGCTCATCCGCGTCGTCAGCCAGTATCCCGACGTTGTCCAGAACACGCTAAAGACGTTGGAGCCCACTACCGTGCTCACGTATCTGTTCCGCCTCACGCACGTTGTCAGCAGCAGCTACGACGTCCTGCGCATTGTCGGAAGCGAGCCAGAGATCCAGAAGGCCCGCCTGGCGCTGTACTCATCTGCCAGGACCGTGCTCTACAACGGCATGCGTCTGCTGGGACTGTCCCCTGTCGAGAGGTGAGTTGCATGGTCTGCTTCAGTGCTGCAGCCACTGGAGTTCTGCTGATGCTGCTGATACCGCCTGCTCGGTAATGGCTTGCACGTGAAACCTAGCGCTGACCAACCAAACAGGATGTAAATTGTCAGCTATATGATGGAGGTCATTATGTGAGGCGAAGAGTGGGGGGAGTAAAGAAGAAAAAAATGCGGGCTCGATATAGGCTCCTCGGAAGACCAGAGCCAGGTTTTGTGAGCCCAGTGTCAACGGCGCCGACAGCATCCATTCCAGTGACCAATACTGATGAATGAGCGGTGGCGATGAAGGATATGCCGCGACCTACCTTAGGCCGCCGGCACAACGGCGATAGCTGTCAGCCGTGAATGTGGTGGCGCTCGACGCCGTGGCGACCCTGGCCAATGCGGCATCGTATGACGAAGAGACGACCTCGAGCAGAGGAGAGCAGCCCGTCGATTGTGTCTCGGTGCGATGGAAGTCCCCGTTCACCGTCGTCGGACAGACGGCATGAACCACACACACACACACACACACGCACACACAGGACACAGGACCTCGCATGCACCAGCTCACTAGCGCTGAATAATTAAAGATCTATATCTTACTAGACACCCATACCCACACTTCCACATACATATACACAAGACCAAAGACGGCCCAAGACTTGACTGCAATGACAACTGAGGGTGCATGGTGGCGGCAGCAATCCCAGTAGGGCTGCTATCGGCAAGCCAAGCAAGGCAAAGCAAAACAGAGCAAAGAAGATGGTATACATGACATTAGAGCACAGCACAGCACAGGTCGAAGGTCGCGACGAGTGTGTTTCGGCTGGGGGAACAAACTGACCCCCTTTCTACAGGTGAAGGAAAAGCGTGGCCCGTCTTTGACTGTCAAAGCAGACTCTTGACCGGTAAGCGCAAATCGTGCGACCGCCTACGATGGGCTGTACCTGGTGGCGTCCTCTTAGCTCCCTCGAAGTGGCTTCGACGGACTAGCAGCTGAGGGTGGCCTTGCCTTTGTCTTACGTCCTCGGCGACCTACGTGGGGGAGTCCCATCCCTGGGCGCCAACGAAATGATCGTCCCGCTCGGGTACCGCTAGGGTGTCATAATCCCTGCAAATACCGAATCTTGCATACGCTCAAACGCTAGAGTTGCGATGGCTTTTCGATGGTTCTGACTGGCTTTTATTTGCTGCCTGTCTTCTTGGCCGGGCTCCGGTTGGACAGGAGACGCAGCGGCGCCGTGGCTTGCAGTTGATCGACATTACCGGTAGTGACCACTACATCCAGAGTTGGCTGACCTAGGCAGGCAACGTCCCTTTATCACACATGCCCTCCAGACTCGCCAAAGAAGAAGACAGTGTAGCGGCCGTATATCCGTTCATTTTCGTGTTACATTTCCCCCCCCAGCCAAGGCCAAGTCAGGTCAAGACCGAGGGAGAGACTGACATTTCGCCCAGGCTGCGGGTCATGGGCGTTGTCGGTGCATCCGTCATGGGCCACCATCATGCAACTCGGCCTTCGCGTCTTCTCTTGTAGCTCTGAGCAACCCCCGGGCAAACAGAAATAGGTACTGCCCCAGCGGGAGTCCCCTGGCCTAGAATGTTCCCAGAGAAGAAATATCTGTTTCTTGGTACCACACTCTGCAAAGAAACTAGGGGCAAAGTGGCTCGGTGCTAGTGCCGAGACCGGACGAGCCCGACCTCGACGCCTCGAGCCCAGCGCCCACCAAACCGCAGCAGCTCTACCTGAAGCCCTTGGTGTCAGGGCGCGAGTTCAGATGCCCAGCCGATGAGACCAAGTGTGGGACTGGGAAGATCCCTTCCCTTCACTGGGTTCGACGTGGAACACCTGGCCAGCACTCGCTTCGCAGCGGCGAGGATGGCGACTCGGCTCATCTTTTGGCCCCCTGCGCTTGGAGCTCCCGCGGCTGCAACACGCATCTCACAGTCAGTCAACCCATATCCTAACCATCTCCTTGGGCCCTAAACAGCCAAGGCACACCCCTGCTGACGTCCATGACAAGGATCTAAACACGCAAGAACGGGCGTCGGTATTTGCTAGGTCTCCGTCAGCTCTGGGAGTGAGTCGATACTCTGAGGCGTTGTGTACGCTCTGCTCACTCCCACACTCTCCCTCTCTCTGGGTGATGTGTCCCTCTCGAAGCGAATCAGGTATCTCATGAATCACTGAGGAGGAGGAGGAGGAGGAGGAGGAGGAGGTTTAATGTCCACGACATGTCAGGCCAGGAACGAACGATTCCAACGGGGAAAATGTCGAGCTACCTGAACGGCTGACCTGCAAGCGCGGCACGTCAAGGTGTGCTATGTTTGGATACGATCACCAATCCCCCCATCCCGGACCTTACCAAGCCTCTAGGCGTTCAATCCTTGGCCTTGGGAAGGACGACTTGGCGAAAGATAATGTGGTCTGACATGGTTGCCTCCTCCACTGCTGTCGCCTGCTGCACATCCGCCCATCTACCGGTAGTGAGTTGGCAATATGGAATAATCTGGCATTGGCGCTTGGGGAATCCGGAGCATGCACAAACGCGTTCACTCATGTTTCCAGCCAACAAGAATAAAGGACCGTTTTGGCCGTTCCCCATCGGCCCGCTCGGGCGCCCACGACCGGATGGCTCAACTCGGCCCTGACTCTTCTTAATAACAGCTGAGAGACACACCCTCCATCCCGGTTCTTCTAGTTTCTGTTCTCCTGCAACAGCAGGACTTATTCTTTACTCCTTTTCCCTTCAACCCCGACCTTTGACGTCTTTTGGTTTTTCGCTTCTTCTTCATCACCCCCCCCTTCCCCCCCCCTCCCTTCCCCTTACGTCGTTGAGGTTTGATTCCTGTTTTTGTACCTGTGTAATCCACTTGCCCCCATCATCATGGCCATAGGCGTGGCTCTTCTCGCCTTCATCGCCTTCTGCGCATGGCGGCTGTACACTGCCATCAAGCTCAAGAGGAAGCTTCCTGAGGGGGCGAAGCCTCTCCCAGGGCCCAAGGGTACGTGGTCTTATCATTGTTGATCACCTGTATCTTCACATGTGGCTCATGGTACTATAGGTCTCCCTCTCATCGGACGTGTTCACGATGTACCAGCCGAGGCAGCTTGGCTCAAGTTCTACGAGTGGAGCAAGGAGTATGGTCCCATCTACCAGCACGAGATGTTCGGTTCCGTCCACATCTGGATCTCCTCGGAGCAGGTTGCCCACGACCTCCTCGGCCGCCGCAATGTCATCTACTCTGACCGGCCCATGATTCCCAACCTTCCAGACAACAGGACGAGCGGTGACTACCTCGCCCTCCTCGGCCGCACAGGTACGCCTATCCGTGTAAATGTTTGATGTTTGTTGACGTTAACTGACAATCCGTACAGAAACATGGAAGCGCCAGCGCAAGCTTTGCCACCACCTCATGAACCAGAGTGACAAGCAGGAGCTCCACGAGTACCCGACCCGCGAGCGTGATCGTTTCTTGTGGCTGCTGTACCAGAAGCCCAGTGAGTATCGCGAGTACGTTGAGCAGTTCACCAGCCGCACTGTCAGCCGTCTCTCCTGGGGCACTGCCCACCCCGCCCGTATCCTACGCAAGACCACCTTTGGCCTGCTCGAAACCATCTCGCCTGCCGGTGCCCTTCCTAACGTCGTCTCCTTTCTTATGCACGTCCCAGCCGCTCTGTCGCCGTGGAAGAAGAAGGAGAAGGAACGCCACGAGACTGAGTCGAAGCAGTTCACCAGCAATATTCAGTACGTCAAGGACCAGATTGAGAAGGGCACCGCGCAACCGAGCTTCATCAGCACCTTCATCAACGAGGGCCTCGGCAACGAGAAGGGCAAATGGGGCGATCTCCAGGAGGCTCAGAACGTCGTCGGTCTCATGGCCATCGCCGGTGCTCTGACCATCGGCAGCCCCATCCAGAGTTTCATCCTCGCCATGCTGCATTACCCCGAGTGGCAGGCCAAGCTGCAAAAGGAAATCGACGAGGTCTGCGGAGGCAAATGCCCGCAGTGGGCGGACCGCGAGAAGCTGCCCATGTTGAGAGCCGTCGTCAAGGAGGTCATCCGCTGGAGGCCCCCTGTCCCTACCGGTGAGTTCTGTGGTGGCTTTGCTTGGTAAGGCGCGTGTATTCTAAGGTTCGGCTGGCTGACTTTGGGTTCGCAGGCATTCCCCACGCGCTTGAGAAGGACGATGTCTACAACGGTTACTTCATCCCCGCGGGCGCCACCATCCACGCTCTTGAGTGGTAAGCATAGAGTTCACTCCCCAGCCAACTGGTCTGAGCTAACGACTGCCAAGGGGTATCACCCGTGATGAATCCACATACCCCGACCCCGAGACGTTCAACCCCGACCGCTGGCTGCAGCCCGAGTACCCGACCTACAAGGAGCCTCTCACCCGTTTCCCCACCCTCGACGGCTTCAGCCAGTTTGGTTTCGGCCGCAGAACCTGCCAAGGTATCCCCATCGTCGACCAGGACCTCTTCCTGACCATGGGCGGCATGGCCTGGGCCTTCAACATCCAGCACAAGCGCAACGCCGATGGTACCAAGGTCCCCGTCCACTGGAACGACTACACCCCGCTGCTGATCGCTAAGCCGGCCCCCTTCGAGTTCGACGCCATCATCCGCACGCCTGAGAAGGCCGACCTGCTGCGGTCCATGTTCGAGGCCGCCAAGGAGGAGGAGGAGCACGAGGAGAAGATGATGAAGCTGGGCATGCCCGACGTCGACATGCGCGACCAGAAGAAGAACGGCCCCATCTCGACCAAGCCGCCGTCGCTGACGATGAACCTCCGCCAGAAGAAGGAGGAGGGCGACCGCGAGAAGCTGTACCGCGAGCACGAGCGCGACATCCCCGGGTGCCCCGGGCGGTGGGCGACCGAGAGCGACATCGACTCGGGCAACGAGAAGGGGTATGTCGACGAGGACAGCTGCTCGGGAAGTTCGTCGCCGGCGATGCTGCCATCAGTAGAGTAAAGCGTTTTGTCGAATGGCTTTGCTGTATTGATTGGGGTGTACCGGAAACATGACATGGGGAAGCACGTAGACCAGAGGATCAGAGCATTCTGGAGGAGAGAAAGATGAGGAAGACATCCATGGCCCCGCGCCAACGGCCACCTGAACATATTACGGAGATTGAAGGGTCGTTTGTCTTGTTTTTACTATGTTTTTGACTTGGTGGTTCTGGAGCAAATAAAGACGACGACTGCCACAGCAGAAGCCGCGGGGGTTATCAAGGGGTCTAGAATGCGATATGGATATAATACCTTCTACGATGTATGAATATAGACACTCCAACTACCGCTATTAGTCTATCAAAACTTAACCGAGTATGTCTGGTCTGCGCGAGGTTGTCGTCTAGGTGAGGTTTTCATTTGTAGTGGTGTCTAAGGGACTCGATCCAACTTGATTTGACAAGGCACGAATCAACGTTTATAACCTTGTTGTCTACTGTCCTACTTGAACACAAGAGAGATGGAAATTGTTACGTGTAATAAGACATCACAAAGAAACTACACTGGTAGCGTTCCGGCACTTGTCGGGGTACTTCCTTTCATCCTCAGTTCCATCCCATCCTTCATCCCCTAATTGGTAGCGACTTACTAGGATGTTGCTAAGATACATTTATATCCCGCTAACTAACCATCTATACATCGTATGACCAACGGCCCGGCCCCCATGTTCAACAATGCCGATCTCCCTCGTCGTCCATGTGGGAAGCGGAGCCTGTGAGATGACGGACGGCGGGCGGTGTTGCTCGCCGTTCGCGGCCAGGACAGGTGGCTGAAAGGAGACCCGGAGCGACTATATTCATCAATATACAAGGTTTCTTCGCATCTTGAGGTTATTCTGTACCCTCACATGACGTTGTCCACCCATCTCCTCATCAGAATGCCGACCGTCCGTCATCCGACAGCAGAACAAAAGTCGTGGGCAAATGCCCCGCTCGACAAGCCAGTAATCGAAACTTTTTTCCGGGACGTGTCGCATGAGGATAAAGACCGGGAGTCGGCCCAGACATCAGTGTCCAACGCGGACGGCCGCCACCGTCTTGTCCTGCCAGAACGGCTTCGTCCACACAGTGATCCGCGCCAGGAAGCAACACTTGCACCTCGGGCCTCGACCGGACGAAGCCTGGCTGGCCGTGCTTGTCCAGTTCGGCTTCCTCGTCAACAGGGCCAGCCGCCGCCGTGGCGTTGTGCGGCTGCTTCGTCGCCCCCGCGGGGGAGCTCGTCGTCCAATTCCGAAGCGGCACTGCTGTCGGCAACCTCGACATGGCGGTTTTTTTATTATTATTTTTACGCAGAGTCTTGTTGCTCTTGTCTCCGCATGAAGCTGGCCGACGCTGAGCTGGCCGACTGGCTGCTTCTCACCCTGTCTCACCGTGGTGCTCGGCTGGATGGTTGCCGGCTTTGATCGGCCCGATGACGTCGGCTGCCACTCGGTCGCCGACGGCATGTCGGGCGGCGTCGTCCACATTCCGGACTGGCTGACGGCCTTTTTGCTGGTGACAACCCGACGGGACGCTGCTGAAGACGTACAGCGACAGGGGCCTGGCGCACGCGTGGCTGGAGAAGGACCGGCATAGGCTGGAGATATCCGGGGTAGGGTTCCCAGCCATCGACGAGGACACGATACCCACAGGCCTCGCGATGGTCCCGATCATATTCCACCCCGAGGCACATGAAGAAGGACGTGACGAGGAGATGTTGGTACTCCTGGCGGGGCCAGGCGGCATGAAGCGCTGCTGAACGGCCAAACAACGCACGAGGGTGGCGCCGTTTTCGAGTTGGCGGCTCTTACGGGACAAGCCGGGACCAGGCGATCGATGTTCGCGCCAAGGGAGTGGTCAGACCACCGGTGAGAAGACCTCCCGACCGTCCACGCCGGCACGCGCCGCCCGCCCGCGATACGGATATCCCCCAGTCCGAGAAAGAGAGCAAGTATTGCAGAGGCAACTCTTGCACCGAGAAGTTATAGCTCAGTGTAGCCAGGTTTTCACGATAGATACCAATTTGACTGTCAAAACTGTCCAGTAAAGGCTATCCCCAACCCCCTAGGTAAGACAATAGTGTATATCTCTAGTAAAGCAGATCGGCCGCATCCACCTGGCACTTTGACACCCATGAGGTCGCCGAATGCAATTCAATGCTTCCCCCCGAAACATGACACAAATATCTCTAAATGTCACCGTCATCACTACAGTTCTTACGACTGAACAAGGTTGGTCGGAAACTAATCGTACCGTAGAGCCCGTCTTTTCGTCGGCTGACGAGACCAAACCGCCTGCCCATCCGTTCGACGAGGCCGGTGACTAAGCGGCGAACGGGGAGGGCTCCCAGCAAACGAGACCAAAGGTTTCTTGGCATAAGAGAGAGCAGGGTTGAGACACGCTCGAGAGCCCGTTGCCCGACTGCGCGCTTTTTGTTTCCCATACACTGCCAAGCCCTTGGGCCTGCCCGCCCTGCCTTCACTCACAGGCCCCTTTTGCATGCCGACAACTCGGGCGAATGAGAGCCTGTGTGTGTTTCGTGTCGCGGAAACGATGCGATTCGCTCAGGGGTTCGGACGAAGCGCCTCTTCTCTCTGGGGCTTTGGCTGGCCCGAACCGGCGACGGACATGTGCCAGACAGTCGGACAGAAGCGCGGAGGGGCGAACTGGCACGGCGAAGCATGCGAGATGGGACGATCTGTCTCGCTCCCCACCTCCCGAACCGGCCGTGGGGGGGGGGGGGGGGATATCACAGTTGGGAAACATGGGACGAACCCTGAGCTAATTGACCGGTGGCCTCACTTCGCCACACCAAAAATGGGCCGATGTCGTCGACGGAGGCGAGGCGGCTCTTGCAAGACCCTCGCCCGCTCGGACCTCGATATAAACGCCGCTTCCTCTGGTTCGATCCGAGCAGGCGCTTCTGAAACTTGGTAGATGCTGTTTCTTTGCCGCTGTCGAGTACCGGACCATTCCGGGGCCCTAGAGCTACTCTGTTCTAGGACAACAAAGTTGAAGCTAAGATAGCGAGAGCCAGGTTCGTTGGGAGTGGATCGTGAGCGGGGGAGAGCACCATGACAGAGCAGAGGAGGCTGGGCAGACGCCACTGGCGCGCCTGAGCACGAAGCTTCTTTTTTTTTGGGGGGGGGGGGGGGGGAGCCAAGATTTCCGAGATGATGGACGCGGATGCTTGTGCCTAGTTTGGCGCAAGTCTGTGTTGACGATCGTAAGCAGGCTTCTCCTGTGACGAGCAGCAAGTCCCGCTTCACCTGGAGAGTGATGTGCTCGAACTTCACGTCATGCTCGATGGAAGCCCCCGGATACAAAGCGGTCACATGAAGACAAACAGGCTGGGCATTGATGCTGATCACCTTGTAGGCCCGCCATATCTTGTCTCGTTGAGGTAAGTAAACCTAGCTGGCTACTCAGGAAACCCATGATGCAGAAATGGCCGGCCGCTTGCTCGCTTGAGCATGATGCGGAGGCCAGGGCCCCCAACCTCCATTGCAGTCAGTCACCTGGGAGAAACAGGCCAGCCGTCATGACGGCGAGATCGTCGACATCTTGAATAGAAGCAGCCATACTGTTGCCTCATTTCGGTTTCGTCTGTAAGGCCTCTTGTTTGTGAAGGAAGCCGGACTTTGGGACATTTTGGTGTTATTCGGGTGAGGGTCCAACGCGGTCTTGGTCTGCGAGCTTTCAATGTGTGGTACCATTCTCGACCTTCTCTGACATGGTGGGACGATGGGAGGTCGGCGGTCGTGAGACGAGGATGAAGGGTTGCGGTTGGAAGTCGACCGTGCTAATTTTTGGACGTTATACGCTTGACTATCTATCTGATCTTACAACGAGACCACAGGCGCACGGGTTTCAACGACCTTGGTGACGGAGTTCGATGGAGTCCTCGTGTGGCTGGCACTGAAGCTGTCACGACCTTGATGATGGGGTCAACAGTGCCATCATTGCCGCCTGGTTAGGCAGTTGGGTCTAGGACGGCTGTATTCACAGGGGGAAGAAGCAGGGATTTACGGAATATTAGATATTGTTTCTGCCTTAATAGCTAACTACATGAAAAGTAATGTCGTAGAGACACGTATTATTGTTACACACACACACACACACACACACACACACACACAGAAGCCCTTTTTTAGTGTCTTGAAGGGGCCGTCGCGTTGACGGCACCGTAGATGACGCGGAAAGGCTGGGTCTCGGCGACGTCGTACTCCTCCACCTTGGAGGCGTCGCCGAAAACGCGCAGGGCCTTGACGGAGAACTTGTACTTGCCGGCGGGGACGTAGCTGCCGTCGTCCATCTGTCCGTCCCAGTTGACGGAGAAGACGCCGCGGGAGGCGTACTTGTAAGGGAACGAGCGGGGCTGGCCGAGGGTCTTTGTGCCGAGGACCTCGCGGGTGATGTTGGGGGAGGAGGCGGTGAGGGGGACCAGGTCGGCGCGGACAAGGGCGGAGCCGAAGACCATGTTGATGGCAAGGGCCGGGACGACGGCTTTGGTCTCGTTGGCGGTGCCGGGGGGCGGCAGGACGTAGGTGTAGTTGCTGGCGACGGGCTTGTACTCGTCGGCCGTCGCGCTGGTGGAGGTGGTCATCAGGGCCTGGTCCATGGTGACGTGGCTGTGGAGGCTGCCGCCGATGCCCATGTAGGGCAGAGACATGCTGGAGCCGTCGGAGCCGTTGATGGCGATGTAGCCCGACCAGACGGGCAGGCGGGCGGCGTCGAGGGTGGGAGGGGTGGGGGTGACGAGGACGGTGGCCTCGCCGCCGGCGGGGACCGAGACCTTGCTCTCGCTGAAGGCCAGGGCGGCGTACTCGGCCGTCAGGTTGTTGGGGAAGAGGGCCGGGGTCACGTCGCCGGCGGCCGCAAAGGTGTAGGCGGTGGCGGCGCCGACGTGGCTCAGGTCGAACGAGACGTCAGCGGAGCCGGTGTTCTTGATGGTGAAGTTGAGCTCGGGGGTGAAGTGGTCGGTGTCGTTGAACGAGAGGCTGGAGTGGCTGAGGAGGATGGCGGAGTAGGCGGCGTCGTAGGCCTGGACGAGACCGGCGCCCTGCTGGGGGACGGGGGCGAGCAGGGCGTCGGGGCCGCTGCCGTGGTTGAACTTGACGGGGTTCGCGTGGGCGGACAGCAGGTTCTCGATGGTGGCGGGGTCCAGGGTCTTGCGGACCTCGGCGATCAGGGCCACGATGCCGGCGGTCTGGGGGCAGGACATGGACGTGCCGGAGAGGACGGCGTAGGAGCCGAGGGCCCTGGGGTACGTGGAGAGGACGTTGCCCCCGACGGCGCCGAACTGGGGCTTCTGCTGGCCGTCCCAGTTGGGGCCCCAGGAGCTGTAGCTGGAGACGTAGCCTCCGGTGGCGGTGTTGACGGACTGGGTGAGGAGCTGCTCGGCCGTATCGGGGTCGGCCATCTTCA